ATTCAAAGAAAAGACATTTGGATACACCTTCCAAAGAGCTTTCCAACGGTATATTATAAGCCCAATTCCGAGTTAAAAAGAAGAAGTTATCATCAAAATACTAAATCGGGCCCTAAAGCTGATACCCTTGCACTCAAACGGCAATATCTTTTGTCCATAATAGATTTTAACCTAATTCTAACGGAATAGGAAATTAGACATTCAAAGCTTTCCAATGATATCTTATTTTCCTTAATCCGACTTCGCAATCAAAAGTTATGGAAGTTTTAAAAATGCATTTTCGTATAAGGCAAACCGCACTGCGCGCAACTTACTAAGTTGCGCGCGGCACTCCAGCGCGACTCTGAGTATTGCGCGCGCCACCTGACGCCGCAAATCTAAAATCCTAAACCTTGATTCCTATTCCTATTAATAAGGGTCTTCACTTAGACCTAAACACATCAGAAAAACCAGAAATTAAACCCTAAATTCTAAAATCCCTAATCTCTCAAACCTTCTTACTATCATACTACTTTTCCCTTCTCTTCCAAACTCTTCAACCCTAATCCATTCTTTTGAAGTCCTTGGAGCTACAAAGAAGGAGAAAAGTCCATAAACGCTAAAACGGAGATCTAGCAACAAAGGAGAACGATAAGTTTCCTGAGCATTTAGCTAAATCAATTTTTCTTTTCTTATTTAAATAACTTTAATCAATTAATTAGTGTTCTTTGACCACTTTAAATAAACTTTAATTAATTAATTTGACATAGTATTCTTTCGTTAATCAAGACTAGAATTTGAATAATTAATTGTTGTTTTATCACCTAAGCCAAGGCGAATATTGTTTATTTCTTACTCTTTTCAGGAATTTGAATAACAAAGATAACGACATTCATTGCAATGTAGACTTTATGTGATTAATGCTTGTAAATAAAATCAACTAACTTAGTTTTAGGTATCACATTGCATATATTGTTTGGTGATGAAATTGTGAAAAAACAAGAGCTACTAGAGGCCGCACTAGGGCTAAGATAGCGAATCACCCCAAAAGGGAACGTTATTTTAGTACCTTTGCTCCCGAACTCATTTCTGGTACAAGTAGACCAATTTGGGCATGGGTAAACTTATGATTCATGCTAAATATCCCTTGAAATCTAACTTGGGAGAAAGGCATAAACGAAGTTTATGAGTTTTCCTAAAACTCATTGACGACTCCTTATTAGTTTCTTACAAAAAAGCGTAATGATAGAATCAATTCTAATTCAAGGTCCCCCAAACTGTCAAGAATTCAAATCCTAACACACCTTCAAAAGTGTAAAGTACTAGGCTTTTAAAGGCCATGGGCATAGAGGAAGTGAGATCCCTAACGACGGGCTACCCTCCTCACAATGGCGACTCCACTGGGGACTTAGAGGTTACAAGATTGGCTTTGGGTTATGATTCAAGGTTTCGAACTTAGGTTACCTATGAGTTCTAAGGAAGGCTAACTTGGATAATCTCTAATTAGAGAGCGAGACTTGAACACATAATATCTTCCTTTTTCACAAAAGTAAAAACCAAATAAGCAACATTGCATCATGCATAATCATAGCGGACTTTAACCATTGGGGATTGGCTGATTAACTAGGGGTCGCTGATAGGGCCGTAAAAATATATTATTTATATATATGAAACTCTTGATTTTATATTGACAATTAATGATTTAAGAGTATTATAAGTAATTTTCTTCCCAAGACACAATTTACTACTACTATATTTATTTGTTTGTAGGAAGGAAGATTACGATATCAAAGTGATATTTTATTACCGTCCGGATTAAACAAAGAAAAGCTCACAAGCCCAATTGAGTCACATGTGTGTCAACCCAATAATGTTTCATAGCAAATAGCCAGGACGTTTTAGGAAACTAAGCTTCGTTACGAAAGTAATTACAAAAATGGTTGCGTGGCAAAAGTATTTACAAAAATAAGCTTCTGGGGTAAACCGCTGCCTCGGGCAGCGTTTTACTTTCTATTTTTTAAAAAAAAAAATTCTGCTACAAAAACGCTGCCCCAGGCAGCGTTTTTATAGTTTGACTTTTTTTTTTTCCTCGTTTATTTTTTTAAAAAATTAATTAAAAAAAAAAAGGCAACAGCATAAAACGCTGCCCCAGGTAGCGTCTTATGCTTGAACATAAGACGCTGCCTGGGGCAGCGTTTTATCTGTATATGTTTACAGGTAAAACGCTGCCCCAGGCAGCGTTTTACCTGGTTGGCAGCACCAAACCAGTTTCTTGCCCCAACCCTCAACATCCTTCCAACACCACCCCCACCCTCCTTCCACCACCTCCAACCCCTTTCCACTACCGCCCTCCACCACCACCGCCTTCCACCACCACCACCACCTTCCACCACCTCCAACCCCTTTCCACCATCGCCCTCCACCACCTCCAACCATCACCTCCACCACCTTCCACCTTCCACCTTCCACCACCACCGCCTTCCACCACCACCGCCTTCCACCACCTCCAACCACCACCTTCCACCACCACCTCCAACCATCACCTTCCACCACCGCCTTCCACCGGCTTCCACCGCCTTCCACCACCTTCCTCCACCGCCGTCCACCACCTTCCACCCCGACCTCCCACCACCACAACCACCTTCCAACAACCGTCCACCACCACCTCCAACAACCTTCCACCACCACCACCTCCAACAACCTTCCACCTCACACCACTACCTTCCACCATCACCGTTGACAAGTCAATATATACATAAATCAAAACATATTGGGAAACAAAGAACATAACACACAAATGTTGACCGAAAAACATTTATTATATTAGAAATGTAAATGTTATATACCTAATCTATACAAAAATTTTACTACATGAAATAACTAAGCTAACACTATCCCGATTCATCTATCCGGGGCAATTGATCTAGGTCAGGTTGTTCGGCCCTCTGTCTGACACGCCGCCGCCTGTAATGAGTAATGGTGGTGAATGGGTCTAGAGGCGGAGGGGGAGTCAGCTGGCTGGTATCTGGCACCTCCTGGGAGCCGGACGGCGCAGTGCTGTGGAAGGTGTAGTCCTCTGAGAATGTCGGCGTCGTAAAATCACCTCCACAACTACTCTGTCCGAGTTCGAACTGCGAATGCATCGAGTGGCCATCATACGTGTCCCGTTGGGGGACGAGGTAGTCGTGTCCATATCGACGCAAGCTGGCCATGCCCATATCCCGAACCCGCTGGACCTCGTTCCCGATGGGCCCGTCAGCCAGGTTAAGGGACAGCGCGTCAACCATCGATGCCATGTCTGCCGCCTGCAATAATCATTGATCAGTTATGCATAGAAACCTAAAAAGAGATGAAAATTAATCGGTTGGAAGTGAAACTCACATATCCATAAATCACGTCATATGCTGGATGGTAATGGGTGGAGGGAGGTGTGTAGCTGGGGTTGATGAAACGCCGAGTAATCCGCTGGTACCAGACCATGTACGGATCGTGAGGCTGGAGGACGCCCTGCATCGGTACACCGCCCACAACGAACTCCAGTCGGCGATGCCAGAGCTCTACGTACGCACGATGCTCCACCGACCAATCCGTCTCTGCCTTTCCTCGTCGGTCAACCCCGTGCAAACGAGTGCTGGTGTCACATGGCTGAGGGACCGGCTGACGTATCCCATATTGCCGCAAGACCTGGTCAAGGAGGTGACTCTCCACAACCTCAAAACAGATCACCGGGGTCCGAGCACGCCACTCTGCCTCATGCTCCAGCAAATGACCAGGCATGGCCTCCACTAACTTAGGAAGGTACGGATCCCATGTCACCTGCACATACACATCAAAAAAACGTCAGTGAACGCTAAACACATCAGACAGTAGAATAATGAGTACAAGTGAAGAAATACCTGGTCCTCAGTAAGTCGATCGAAGGCGTCTCGAGGACACAGGTAACACTTGAACCCCATTCCCGGTCTCAAACCTCATTTTAATGTTTAGTTCAACACTCCCCGGGTTTGAACTAATGCTACTATGAACCTCGTTCATGAAATCACTGAAGGTCATGTTCGGTTCAAGTGTCAGTGGTTCCATATTTCCACCATTATACTCGACACGAGGTCCGTCAAACAAAAATTCACCTCCCCACCGGCACAACAAAACTACATTCTGTGCGGCCATATTCTACACAACAACCAAAACACATTACACTAAAACACACTAATCCATCTCTAAATCACATCCAACTAACCACTTTGGAACAACTAAGCATCACTAGGTCACCATTAACAAGCAATAATTCTAGAAATTCAAATACTTAACATCTTCAATATTTCAACACCAACAATTCTACATTATCCAAATTAATATTTAACAATCACAATTCATCAACTCAACCCTAAACCCCTAAATTCAACAAAAACCCCCAAAATTCAACATAAACCCTAGAAATTCAACAATTCAAGAAATTCAACAATAACCAATAATTCAACAACACTAACCAACAATTCAACAACACTAACCAACAATTCATGAATTCAACAACACTAACCAACAATTCAACAACAATATCCAACAATTCAATAATTCAACAACACTAACCAACAATTCAAGAATTCAACAAACATAACGAACAATTTGTAAATACTCAACTAATATTTAACCATACCTTGAATTGGATGTAATACGAAATTGGGTTGAAGAGGATTGAAGAGGAAATTTGGGAAGGGAAGGAAGAGGATTGCGAAGGAGGCGAAGGAATGAAGAGCAAACGTGATTGAAAACGAAGCTCGAGTTTCTGGTTTTACAACCAGACAGAAACGCTGCCTGGGGCAGCGTTTCATTAACAAGATAAGACGCTGCCTGGGGCAGCGGTTTACCCCAGAAGCTTATTTTTGTAAATACTTTTGCCACGCAACCAAATTTGTAATTATTTTCTTCGGGAAGCTTAGTTTCCTAAAACGTCCAAATAGCCAAGTGGACCATGAACTCATTAAGTACACCAACTGGTTACTCAGCCAAAACAAAAGAAAAAAAAAAAGAAGAGCAAGGGAACACCTCTCATTGTTCTTGTGGGTAAAGCTCAAATAAATTGTTGAGCGATTTTCGTGGGTACCAAACTGTCAAGCAAAAGATGATAAAGATGAAATTGGATAATTATTGGAGCGAAAAATTCGGATTAGTTAGGGATCAAAGACTCCTATTGATATACATGGGGCTGGCGAATTGGAGGGAGATCTGAGTTTTATTTTGGGGATTTTCTGGGCTAGGTTTAGGGCAACAAATTGATGAGTTTCATCTGGATTATTGCGAGGTACCTAGCGAGCAGGAAGGTAAGCAAACACGGACTAGTCAAGGCGACTCGGTTCACCTTGTGTTTACTCTGATTCTCACTAGAAGATATGGTACTGTATATTTGTTTTCATTTTCTTTACATTCGATTGTCTACCTTTGATTTATCTTGGATTAGTAGTAGTATAAGTTTTGTTTTAGGAGAATAAAAGTAAAAGTTAGTGCTTTCTCTTTGTTATTTTACTTTTGAATGCTTTAGTATACTAGTTCTAGTTGGTATGCAGTTTGCTAGATTAAGTTAATTATTAGTTTTATTTTCATTATTTGCTTTGTTAATTAGTTTAATTATGAATTTTATGTATTCTATTATAGTTAACTCAATATTTGTTATGTCAGGCTAAATTATTAGTGGGGTAGGGAGATCAATTATGCATTGGATAATTGGATTGTGAGAATAGATATGTTAGTTTTTGGGTATTATGTTTATTTCTTATTAATTGGTTTGATAATCCGTTTGAATATTACGAACTAGTCAATTATATCTTAGACTGGCCATCTTTAGTATAATTTGCTAGTTTGACGACTAGAGTATTAACTTGTGATCCGTAATTGTCTTAGATGATACCATTAGTAGTGATTAGGTGTTCGATTGGTGACTAAAACTTGTCGCAACACCTAAGATTATCTACCCTTTGAGTTGCACAAGTTCGAGCTTGTGAGATTTGTGGCTTAAGTTAGCTACTTCCTAGTTATTAATGTTGCTAATTAATCGAGTCTAGAGAGCTTGTTCTAGATTGTTAGTTAGTTAGACAATACTCCAAGAGCTTGTTTGTTTTATTTGCAATTAAGGGAAGTGTTGAATGTTTGTTTATGTTCATCGGCTAACATTGAGATAAAAACATGATTTATATAATTCGATGATCAATCAATTTTCCAATGCAATATTGTATCTCCCGATCCCTTTTTCATCATTCTTGATTTTTAATATTTATTCTTAATGTTAAATTTACATCTCCGTACTTAGCTTATTTTCAAGTCCGTAGTTTTATATATTAGATCGTAAAAGTCATTGTTCAAAACAGGGGTTTTTAACATACACAAGTAATAATTTGATAATCTAATTCTCTGTGGGATCAACCCTAGCTTACCCTACTACATTTTAGGAGGTTTTAGTTAGGTTTATTTTTGGTAGACACGCGACAGTCGTACTAAATTTTGGCGCCGTTGCCGGGGAATTGGCTTTTTATTACATTATTACTTGTGTTTTTGCTAACTTTTCCTACTTACTTGTCATCTAGTTCCTTGTTTGTGTATGTGTGACAGAAGCTCGAAGAATCAAAGATTAAGGGAATTTGCAGCAAGGAACCAGGGACTTATAATTCATCCTTTTTCTACTCTCCCTGTAGCCAAAAGGACTCGTGCTCAAATACTGGAGCAAGCTCGTCATATTCCATTACCTCACAGTGAAAGTTCATTTTCGAACGAGGAGGGTGAATATATTTTTGAGATGGGTGATCAAACACTAAAGCAGCTCGCAGCTCCAACATTTGATCCAAATTTATTGTGCATAGTAGACTATGAGGCAAAAATTGAGATCAAGCCGGGGTTGATTAGTGCTCTTCCCACATTTTCATGTTTCCGTAATACTAGCTCCTTGGGTTCAATTCACATGAATAAGGCTAGCAGATTTTTGAAGGAATTTCACATAGCATGTGCGGGGATGAAACCGGCTGAGGTCACCCTCGACCAACTCAAGTTAAAGGAATTTCCTTTTGCCTTATCTGATGCTGCTAAGGAGTGGTTATTTGAAGTACCTGCTGGAACCATCACAACATGGGATCAAATTCTAAAAGTATTCGCAGAAAGATATTTTCCAGCATCTTTAATAGCCAATATCAGGAAAGAAATATGTGGAATTCGACAGGACGATGCAGAGACACTTCATGAGTACTGGGAGCATTTCAAGAAACTATGTGATAGCTGTCCAAACCATCAGATCAGTGAGCAATTATTAGTACAGTACTTTTACGAAGGACTTAGGGAGACAGACAGGAATGTAGTTGATGCAACAAGTGGTGGAGCACTGGTTGACAAAACACCCGTAGATGCAAAGAAACTAATTGCAAACATGGCTGCAAACTCTTAGTATCGAGGAGGTCGAAATATCAAATCCACTTCTGTACGTCAAGTTAATGAAGTGGTGAGTTCTAACCTCGAGCAACAAGTAGCTAAACTCACTTCCTTATTGGAGCGAGTAATGGTCGAAAAAGGGCAATAAAAAACATGTGGCCTTTGTTCAATGGTAGGACACCCAACTGATATGTGCCCTACTATGCCAGAAGAGCAAGTGAATTCTATTGGTGGTGGTCAGGGATAGCAAAGACGTTATGATCCGTTCTCTCATACTTATAATCTAGGGTGGAGAGATCATCCAAATCTGAGATATGGTAATGCTCAGCAGCAGGCAGGCAACTCTAACCTCAGACCACCAGCTTTCCAGCAACAACAAGCATCTAATCCTCACCTAGTTTTCATCAGCAACCACAATATCAGCCGTGACCTCAAAATCAGCAAGTTTCCCAGCCACAATCTGGTATCATGTCTCTGGAAGATATTGTGAAGGCAATGGCTGACAACACTTTGCATTTTTAGCAAGATACAAGAAGTGGTCTAAAGGACTTGGAGAACCAAGTTTCTCAGTTAGCTAACACGGTGGGAAAGCTCCAAGCTCAGAACTCTAATAAGCTTCCGAGTCAACCAGAGAGAAATCCAAAGGAGAACGCGAGTGCAATCTCACTTAAAAGTGCTAAGCAATTAGAGATCCCAGCAAAAAAGACTGAAGAGCTGGCAGAACACCAAGAGGAACGGGAGACTATTGTTCCAGAGCAAGATAAGCAGCCCCCTAAGGTAAGCAATGTTGTTTCTCCTAATACTAATCAATCTTCTTCTTCTGTTCCATTTCCTTAGCAGGTTATCATCTAAGAATAAGAAGAAAGAGCATGAAAAGGAGAAAGAGACCCTAGACATTTTTCGCAAGGTTGAGGTGAACATACCTCTACTGGAAGCTATAAGACATGTGTCGCGGTATGCAAAGTTCTTGAAGGAGTTGTGCACTAATAAGAGGAGATTGAGTGGAGATGAAAAAGTCGGTGTAAGTGAGAATGTGTCTGCTGTTTTACAGAGGAAAGTTCTTCCAAAGTGCAAGGATCCAGGTATTTTTACTATACCCTGTAAAATAGGTAACACGAGATACGATAAATGCATGCTAGACTTAGAAGCTTCTATTAATGTCATGCCTTTATATATCTATAAAGCTTTGAACTTAGGACCTTTGAAAGACACTCGAGTGATTATTCAGCTTGCCGACAGTTCTAATACATACCCTGTAGGAGTAGTTGAGGATGTCTTAGTGCAAGTGAATGAACGGGTATTTCCTGCTGACTTTTATGTTTTAGATATGCCAAATGATGAATCCTCTAGTGCAGCACCTATCTTATTAGGAAGACCTTTTCTGAAAACATCCAGAACTAAAATTGATGTTCACAGTGGGGTGTTGACCATGGAATTCGATGGGGAGATTATCCGGTTTAATTTATTTGATGCCATGAGATACCCCTCTGATTGTGAATATGTATCTTGTGTAGATGTCATTGATGCACTAACTGAGCAAGTATTTTGTCTCTCTGGTCATGATGGGTTAGATATTGTTTTGACTGAACCTGTGGAAAAAGAGAAATATACTAACTTGCGGGAACATTTTGAGCTTGAAGATGAGATGAAGGAAGCTTTCTCTTCCTTGGAAGTGCTTCCACATAAGCAAGGAAGGTATGCAAATTGTTTATGAAATTGCCTGTCACATCTAACAGACTTTTGCCTTCTATTGTGCAGGCCCCTGAAGTGGAATTGAAGCCACTGCCAGACCATCTCAAGTATGCATTTTTAGGAGAAAATGACACTCTGCCAGTCATAATCGCGAGTAATCTAACTCTGACTCAAGAGCAAAAGCTGGTGCAAGTTCTGAAGGAGCATAAAACAGCTCTAGGTTGGATGATTGCTGATATAAAAGGAATTAGTCCCTCTATGTGTCAGCATAGAATCTTATTAGAAGAAGGAGCTAAACCTGTGAGACAAGTGCAAAGGCGACTTAATCCACCTATGATGGAAGTGGTGAAGAAAGAAGTAATGAAGCTCCTTGAAGTAGGGATGATATACCCTATATCAGATAGCCCTTGGGTCAGCCCCTTGAAAGTGGTTCCAAAAAAAGTCAGGAGTCACAGTGGTGGAAAACGATAAGGGAGAAATGGTTCCCACACGAGTTCAAAATGGGTGGAGAGTTTGTGTAGATTACAGGAAACTTAACTCTATGACTCGAAAAGATCATTTTCCTTTACCCTTTATTGATCAAATGGTAGAACGCCTTGCTGGTCATTCTTATTACTGTTTTCTTAACGGATATTCAGGTTATGTGCAGGTACCTATAGCTCCGGAGGATCAAGAGAAAACGACGTTCACATGCCCGTACGGCACATTTGCGTATCGTTGTAGGCCATTTGGACTGTGCAATCTCCAGCGTCTTTTCAAAGATGTATGGTAAGCATCTTTTCAGATTATCTTGAAAATTTCATAGAAGTTTTCATGGATGATTTCACTATGCATGGAGATTCTTTTGATAGTTGCTTAGAACACCTCACTTTGGTTCTTAAACGTTGTCTCTAAACTAACCTTGTGCTTAATTCTAAAAAATGTCATTTCATGGTTGAACAAGTTATAGTTTTAGGCCATATTGTGTCTTCTGAAGGAATAAAAGTCGATAAAGCTAAAATAGATCTTATTTCTTCTCTGCCTTATCATGCCTCTGTGCTGGAAGTTCGTTCCTTTCTTGGCCATGCAGGTTTCTATCGAAGGTTTATTGAAGGTTTTTCGAAGATTGCACAACCTTTATGCAGACTACTCTAAAAAGATGTGGAGTTCCACTTTGGTGAGGCCTGTAAGCAAGAATTTGACAAGCTGAAAGACAAGTTGGTCACTGCCCCTGTTCTACAACTTCCTAACTGGGAGCTCCCATTCGAGCTGATGTGCGACGCTTCTAATTATGTTGTAGGGGCAGTGCTAGGTCAGGGAGTTGAAAAAGTTCCCCATGCCATCTACTATGCCTCGAGGACTTTAGATGCGGCTCAAGCTAATTATACTACAACTGAGAAAGAACTTTTAGCTATAGTTTTTACTTTAGACAAATTCAGGTCTTATTTATTGGATACTAAAATTGTTGTATTTACTGATCATGCAACGCTGAAATATTTATGGTCAAAGGATGTATCCAAACCTAGGCTAAAACGTTAGATTTTATTGCTTCAAAAATTCAATGTTAAAATAAAAGATAAAAAAGGTTCTGACAATAGTGTTGCTAATCATTTGAGTAGGTTAGTTATTGAAGCTGATGAAGATAAAGTCCCAATCAATGAAGAGTTCCCCGATGAGCAACTTCATGCCTTGAACTCAGGAACTCCGTGGTATGCTGATTTGGTAAATTTTCTAGTATTTGGGAAGTTTCCAGCCAGCTACACCAAAGCACAAAAGGACCGGATGCGAAGCATAGCAAAATACTAGATATGGGATGACCCATATCTCTGGAAATATTATGCTGATCAACTGATCAGAAGGTGCGTACCTGATTCCGAATTTCTTTCTATACTAACTTTCTGCCATTCTTATGCATGTGGGGGACATTTTGGACCAAAGAGAACCGCACACAAGGTTTTAGAGAACGGATTCTACTGGCCCTCTATATTCAAAGATGCATATGATATATGTAAGGCCTGTGATAAATGTCAAAGGACAGGTACATTAGGTCCTAGGAATGAAATGCCCCAAACTCCTATTTTATTTTGTGAAATTTTTGACGTTTGGGGCATGGATTTCATGGGACCCTTCCCCTCTTCTTTCGGTTTTCAATATATTTTGCTGGCTGTCGATTATGTCTCGAAATGGGTGGAAGCTATAGCCACCCGTACTGATGGTTCTAAAGTAGTTGTAGAATTTTTAAAATCAAATATTTTTGCTAGATATGGATTCCCAAGAGACATCATAAATGACAAGGGGACACACTTTTGCAATAAGACAATAGGAGCTCTCTTGAAGAAGATAATGTGTTTCATCGAGTGTCCACTGCGTATCACACACAAACAAATGGATAGGCAGAAGTTTCCAATTGAGAAATCAAGTCCATTCTAGAGAAGACTGTGAATCCAAACGGGAAAGATTGGAGTCTCCGCCTCAACGATGCTCTGTGGGCGTACAGAACAGCGTATAAAACACCGATTGGGATGTCTCCTTACAGGCTAGTGTTTGGCAAACCTTGTCACCTTCTAGTAGAATTGGAACACAAAGCTTTTTGGGCTGTGAGGAGATGGATGCAGCAGGTGAGCAAAGGAAACTTCAGTTACAAGAGCTTGAGGAAATCCGAAATGATGCTTTCGAGAATGCGAGAATTTACAAGGAGAAGACTAAGGCATTCCATGATGAGCACATAACACGAAAGACATTTACAGTGGGGCAAAAAGTTCTCTTGTACCATTCTCGGCTCAAACTTTTTCCTGGTAAACTTCGTTCTCGATGGGTGGGGCCCTTTATTATTACCAAGGTGTATGACCATGGTGCGGTTGAGATTCGTAGTGAGGAGACGGGGAAGGAATTCAAGGTGAACGGTCATCGACTAAAGCCGTACTATGAGGGTTATCAGGTCCAGAACATTGAAGTGATGGAGCTAGAAGCTCCACATTATGAAGACTAGTATGCTGGAAAGACGTCGAGTTAACGACGATAAATAAAGCGCTCTTGGGAGGCAGCCCAAATTTAGGAGTTTTTTTTTTTACTTTGTTTTCTCGTAAAAATAAATAAAAAAAAAAAAAATTCAGCTCAGATATTTCGTTTGCTCCTATTTTTAAGCCCCCTATACTATTCAGGAAACTAATTCTGTTTTTATTTTGTATCAGTTGTTGGAGGACAGTGGGATTGGCTGGACACAATGGTGGAGTTAAAGCTACGCTGATACAACACCTGCTTATATCCGAAAATGTTTGCAACAAGAAAATATGAACATATTCAAGCTTGGGATTTGTTGCAATATATTCCTTAAACATGTCACAACAACATAGAACAAACAAATTCATGAAAACAAGTCGAATCGAGTACCCCCTAATTTAAAAATTAGGGTTCTTCTTTCAATTTTCCCCATTTTGTTAACCAAATTCAAAGTTTGGTACAATAAACAAGGAGCACGATTTACTATCCTTAAGTTCATACGACAACCAAAAATGGAAAGAGACCGAAAAAGACGAATGAAGAAGAAGGGCACGGTTGCAGATCGTGTTCTTCCACAATTGTTTGTTGTTTAACCAAATTCAAAGTTTGGTACAATAAACAAGGAGCATGATTTACTATCCTTAAGTTCATACGACAACCAAAAATGGAAAGAGATTGGAAAAGAGGAATGAAGAAGAAGGGCATGAGCTGCAAATCGTGTTCTTCCACAATAATTCGTTGTTTAAGTTCTGTTCGCAACTCACAGAGTTGCGCGAGAAAGCTGTGCACAACAACCAATGTTGAGAAAGAGACCGAAAAAGGCGAATGAAGAAGAAGAGCACGAGTTGCGGATCGTGTTTCTTTGTTTAAGTTCTGCGAGCAACTCATAAAGTTGCGCGAGATAACTACGCGCAACTTCTAATATTGTGCGCGACACCCCAACGCAACCCTCAAAGTTGCGCGTGGATGCTGGTTAGTCAAAATGGCCATTTTCCAGGTTTTTGTTTTGTCTTCCAAACCAAATGTTTTAGCTCGTGGAATTCGCTCCTCCTCGACAGGCTTTTTCGCGAAGTTTATAAAACCTTCAAAAACCTTTTATTGCTTTGCATCCAATAGTTTCTTTTCTTCTTTGATAGTTTTTTGCATCATCTTTCATGCACACCGTGCTTTGTGCCTACCGCAAGCATATGTTTTGGATGTTTTTGGTGAAGCGTCTTAAAATATCCCATATTGATGCTTTACGTAAGAGCTTTGATGTTTAAGTCAGTACAAGTTCTGATAGAATAATTGAAATCAAATTGACAAAGTTTGAGATTACTTTTATAGCGCTTTGTCTTTGTTTCTTTACATCTTCTGGTTGTACCTGGAATTTGGACTGTCCATTTTGAATCTGCAATACGACGGGTTAGAGCTGACCGTTGGCGTTGCCGCTAATGGCCCTCTGATGGTTAAGTTAGTACTGATCTTATTGAGGCAATGAATGAAAACATAGATAAATTTTTGATTTTTTATATAAATAACGTAGAAATAACTTAGAAATAAGGGGTACCTTAATAATGATAAGGTTTCAAGTGTGCTGCGTTCCAGCTTCTAAGTACCAGCTTACCTTCTGGTGTGATTAACTTGTAGGCCCCTTTGCCAATTACCTTGTCAATCTGGTATGGGCCTTCCCAAGTTACCTTTAGTTTACCTGCATTTATCATTCTGGTGTTTTGGAATACTTTTTGCAGAACCCAGTCTCCTACTTTGAACATCTTGGCTTTCACATTCTTATTAAAGCTTCTTACTACCATTTGCTAATAGGTAGCCATCCTTATGTATGCCAAGTCTCTTCGCTCTTAAATTGTATCCAGGTTATGCGACAGCTCTTCATTGTTACGTTCGGAGTTGACGAACCGTACCTGGCTGTTAGAGTGGTGACTTCTGCATGTAGTATGGCTTCGCACCCATATACCAGGGAGAAAGGGGTTTGACCTGTAGTTGTCCTTGGTGTGGTTTTGTTGGCCCATGTAGTTGTCCTTGTATCACTTTGTTGCTAGATACAGCTTGTTCGTTTGCTTGTGGATATCTGGGTGTTAAGGTAATGAGAGTGATGTTCCATTTATCATAGAAATGTCTGGTTGGGGCACTAATGAACTAGGATCCATTGTCGCAGACAATTTCAGATGGCAAACTGAATCTACAGATTATGTTGGTCCAGATGAAGTTGATTACTTCTTTGTCTTTCACATGTTGGAATAAATCTGCTTCTATCCACTTAGAAAAGTAATCTGTTATAGCCAACATATAGAGCTTTTGACCTAAGGCAGGTGGCAACTTGCCAACTATGTCCATGCCCCATCTCATGAAAGGCCACGGAGTCAAAGTGGGATGCAAAGGTTCAGAGGGTCTATGAGTGATACCCGAGTGACGGGGAAGCTGTCACATTTACTTACATACATGTGTGCATCGTTACGTAGTGTTGGCCAATAGTAACCATAGGATAATATTATGCTAGCTTGAGTTCTTCCACCTGAATGGGCTCCGCATTCACCATCATGAAAATCTTTAAGTATCTGCTCACATCTATCTTCTTCAATGCAACGTTGTAAAACATCCCTGGTTGATTTTATACATATCAACTATGTATTGTTGAAAACATCTACCAGCTCGTAACAACATATTATTGGGACGAGTCTGTAACTTATAAGCATATTATTCCCTTGGAGAAATAAACTTATATGCCCTAGTGTTCTTTCTACGTGCCCCTGTGTAGACAAATATAAATAGATTAGACCACTATCTCGTATATCTGATACACCAAGCATAGCAAGACATGACAAAAGACACATGATACGAAATGTATAAGTGTTCCTTCTTCATTCAGCAACTCTTCAACTGTATGTACATCTCAAGACATCACAAGATCTAGACAAGAAGCTGCTTGCCTCGCACCTCCATGAGTTTTGTTTTTTTTTTAAGTCCTTAAGTCCAGCCACATTCACCCCGAGGTAATAACAAAGGATATTGTAGTGGGTCATAGCAGCTGTAATTTTGGTATATTCGATGAGATTCATCTGATTTACTAGAGACCATTATGTGAGGACTTAGGCTCTAGCTAAATGAAGCATTTTCTAGCCAAATTACTGCAACATCATCTACAACAGGAGCATTATAAACACGTTGATCTAACACTGTGTTTCGATTCAGAACAATCTTGGTATTGACAGTGATCAGTCTTTCTTTTAAAGATCGAAAGAATGCAGCATATGAATTTTGCAACGAGACATGCATAAAGATATTAATCACATCTTCCCTTAGCTTAGGAAAAGCAGCTAATGAGTGACATTTATTTCACTCTTAGGGTAGTGTTTATGCCTTGTTTTAGCTTGTTTTAGGATATTAACCATGCAACACTATTCAAATAATGCGTGCATTCATGTCTCGATGTATTTTGGATGAAATCGCGTATATGCTTGAATGCTTGCCTTTATTACGCGTTATACCACTTCCCCTACCTTATTGTTTCCCTTGGTTTTTGTTCTTAGGTTTTTGAAGTCAAGAATTGCAAAGAAGAAGCCAAGGAAGCACGAGAGAAGATTCGAAGAAAGCGAGGTGCGCGGGTGCGCACAAGAGGCAAAACCTTTGTGCGGGTTGTGTGCGGGCCGTGCGCGGGTGCGCAGCTGCAGTGCACAAGCGCGCACCCAGCACACAAGCCACGCATACCCGCAAAAGCGCGAGCGCGCGGTGTCGTGCTCGGGCGCGCAGCCCTCGTGCGCGGGCGCGCCTGGACCCTGTTCGGCTTATTTTTCACGGCTTATAAATAATGCTCGAGGCTCTTTGTATGGATATCTTCTATTCTTTTTAGATCTTTTTCTCTAGTTATAGGAGAGCTTCTCTATCTAGGTTTAGCTTAGGATTAGAGTAGTTTAGAGAGAGAAAGTGAGGGTTTCACCATTGTTGAGCTTGGATTTTTAAGAGGAAGATTGATCATCTTCCTTGTAGATATTCACCATCAATCAATGAGCAATTCTTACCTTCTCTTCTCTATTCTTATTGCTTTATTTTGATTTTGCTTTGTTAATTGCTTGTTATTCGTGCTTTTACTTGTTGAAAATTGTCATGTTGATTGCCATGATTATGGAGTAATCTCTTTTGCTAAGGTTTTGGGGATGGTATAATTGAAGCTTGAGCATGTTTTAGCTATAGTTTGGTTTGACCATGATTAAAGTCTTTGTATGTTTGATATTCTTCAATTTGCTTGCAAATATGTTGTTTGTGAATTGAAGGTGAATTGTTGCTTGATGATGCGATAGCAGACCTTGCTAGAATCATTGTTGTCGATTGTGCTTGATTGTACCTTCTAGTATATGGTTCTAGTGCGATAGCATAGAGGCTATGTTAGGAGAAACCATTTGACCCCGATAGGTGGCTAGAATGGACCTTAATTCGGCATTCAAATATACTTAGTTTGTGATCACTCCAATTTTATACCTATGCTTGTTTGAGTGAAGCTTATACCTACCCATCTCCTTAGCATCTTAGTTTCTAGCTTAGTCTAGTCTTGTAGTGTTAGTTGTCATTTCTTACCCCTTTTTGGCCTAGCTTAATTGTTGGTGATGATTGTGGTGATTAGCCGTTCTATGTGGGTCAACCCTTGACTTGCCACTAGACTCTTGTTTAGTGTTAGATTTAGGTATTATAAATCTTTGTTTGATTGAAGGTGTTTTAGAATCCAATGAACTTAAAATATCCTTCATTAGCAGCAAGCCTATTTTCAGGTTCATGCTGCCCATCTTAGAAATACAGCTGCAAATATTTAGGAGTACCACTATTAGGCAATAAATCTGGAACAAAGTGATACATCTACCCATGCAACTTAAATACATAAATACCTTTGTATGTGTTTGCATCAAAATTCCCACCAATAGAGCTTTTATTTAATGTTGTTTTATTTATATGTAATTTATTTTTATTTTTTTTTGAAAAAATACACTTTAATAATCCCAACTTTGCTCAATTTACTTTAAATAATCCCAATTTTCGATTATTATGCAATAATCCCAACTTTCACCTGTGTTTTCTTTCTTCAATCCCAAACCGGTCAACAAAAGTCATTAACCTGATATTATAAGTTATCTGACATGTGTCAGGTTGTGGTTAGTCCAAAAAAAATCAATAGGAAGAAAAAGAAAAAAAATAATTTTGCCACGTGTCATACGTTTACTGGTTCAAAATATTTAAAAACTTAAATGAAATTTTTTTACAAAAATAATAATAAAACTAACCCCCAGCCCCAATCCCTAGCAACCTCCTCTTTCTCAGCCCCCACCCTCGGCAACCTCTAACTTCCTAGCCATACCCACCGCCGGCAACCTCTAACTTCCTATCCATACCCACCGCCGGCAACCTCCAGCTTCCCATCCCTACCGGAAACAACACCTCCCTCTCCCCCTCTGTCAAAATCGGCCCCCTTCCCTCCACGCGCCGCCGAAACAACCTATAATCAAATCTCCTTCCTCGAAACCACCACCCGCAAAACCACCGTAACTAAAACCCCCGCTAACCAAAACCACCACCACGACACCACCATTAGCCAAAACCCTCGAAACCACCACCCGCGAAACAACATTAAGGGTTTTGGTTAATGGTGGCTTCGGGGGTGGTGGGAGGGATGGGGGGCGGTTTTTGGGTTGTTTTCGGTGATATATTGTTGCCTTGTGGGTGGTTGGAGGGTGGGAATGGCCAGTTGGGGAAAGAAAGGCCACCACCGTGGTGGCTGGTGGTTCTCTCTCTCTCTTTTTTTTTTTAATTTAATTTAATTTCTGTTAAAAAAATAATTTAATTTAACTTTGGTTAAAAAAAAAATAAAAAAATCATCCAATTAAAATGTAACACGTGGAAGATAATTTATTTAAAATTTTTAACCTTTTCTTCAGGTTACCGGTAATTAAGATTGAATAAAGAAAACAAAGGTGAAAGTTGGGATTATTACAAAATAATCGAAAGTTGGGATTATTTAAAGTAAATTGGGAAAAGTTGGGATTATTAAAATAAATTTTTCTTTTTTTTTTTGAAGAAATTTATATTAATGTTCTTTATTTTATATCTAATGTTCATTTCACCCCTTCATGTTCTTTTTCTTCGATACTCTCTCTCTCTCCTCTCCCTCTAACTTCTTCTTTCATTTATTTCTTGATTTTTATCACTTTTATGTGCTTAATTCATCACTCACACACATTTTTACTGGATTTAACACTCCAAAATCCGAATTTCACAACCAAATTTTCGGATTTTTCATGATTTGAGAATTTTGGGTATTTTTGACTTTGGCTAAAAAAAAAACTTGCAATTGAGTGTTCTACTTGCTTGATTTCCAATATTAATTCACTTTACAAGGGTATCCTACTCATTTGAGGTATGATTTCTCTTTCTTTGTTCATCTTTGTTCTACTTCATGAATATGAAATCCTAGGTTGTGCTTCAATGGTGAACTCTCTTTACTTATTCTTTTTACCTATATTTTGTGTTTTGTGATGATATTTATTGTTCATATGAAGCTTTATTATCATAAAATTACTTAATTGTTTGAATTTTTGGCACTACCATTATTGTTGTTCATTATCTTCTTCCATGAATTTGGGTAGTAGCAATTTTTCATTATTTATATGTAATGTTCTTTTTTAGAAAGATAATGTTATTTTTATTTATAAGTTATGTTCTTTTATTTATATGTCATGTTATTTACTCCATATTTTATATGTAATGTTCTTTTTCAGAGAACATGATATACTCTATGTTCGTTTGTAATGTATAATAAATTACTATAACTACATTTTTTTATTTATGGATTATGTTCTTTTATTTATATGTAATGTTATTTTATTTATAGGGTAATGTTCTTCCGAGTGTACCATGCGCATGGTACACCCGTCTGTACGAAACATAACTGCTTTTTATATTTTCTCCTCTCATTTCTTAATTCCTGTATTATTTTTCAGATGGGACTATATTTAGGGATGGAAGGAGCAATAAAAATTATAATAAAAGTAATATTATGAAATTTAATATATGATATGATATAATATGTAATTATTGTATTTATAAAAATACAATAGTCAAAATTAATATTTCCTATATAAATAGTGAGAAAAATTTTTAATTGTTAATTATTGTGGATGGAGTAGACTTGATCAAAGTTAGCTCGGTCCGTTGGCCCGGCTCGATTTTGGGCAAAGTTTTCCTGCTCGACCCGAAATTATATTTTTTTTGGGCAGGTTTGGAAATGCGATTTTATGCATTTTTAGTTGTTTTTTGGCCCGGTCCGAAAAGCTCCCATGGCCCGGCCATTTTGGGTGGGTTAGGGCACAAAAATTCCGGCCTGAAGTTTGGCCCAACCCGACTTGACCCGAGAAGTGGGCTAATTTTTTTGCCTCGGCCCGGCCCGAACCTAGCCCGGCTCGGCCCGCTCAATGATCGCCTCGGATGGAGGAAGTAAGGGGTCGTTTGGTTGGATCATTTGGAATAGAGTTAGAATGCATTTCATCTATTTTTTTTTTGTTTGGTTGAGTTTTTTAGTAATGAAATATCTTACTCAAAGGATATCCCATACCTATAGAATCCCATACTCACCTCCCCTAAGATTTATATTCCATTCGAAAAATATAATCCATTTTAACACTAAACCAAACAATTTTAAGCTAATCTATATCTTTCTAATATGAGATTCCATTCCAATCCACGGTAAACGTTTATCGAGGTGTATCGATTTACGAAGGTGTATAACATTGATTGTACGAGAGAAGTTTTTGCAAGTGTGCAAGCAAACGTAGGCTGATAAACTGTTAGAATTCCTTTCTCTCTCTTAGTCTCTTATGCTCCATTCTTTATAATTCGGTGTCTGCTTCTACAGACTCATCATACCTTCTGGGGTTTGTCGTTTGCTTACGCGGTTTTCTCTTTCGGAAATTCCAATGCTCATTTGAACATTTTGCTTCAATCTTTTCATCCAACACTTTGTTTGCTCAATTATGTTCTCTCATGGAGGTCAAACTCCTTCAAGGTATCATCTCATCGCCCCTAATTTCTCTAGCTTATTTTCATTAAGTTCCTATTATCTGCGCTCAATTTGTTAACCTTGTTTATGAAATTCGTATTTTCACAAGTTTTGTTATGTTATTGTTTGATTAGTTGATTGCCGGATGAATTTTTCGTATTTGTGTACTCCGATTTATTAAGAATTTGCTGACATTGAAGTTGTTCCTCATGTTGGCGGTTTTTTTTTTTTTTTTTGGTTTGTAAATACTTTTAATTTTGTGCTTCATCTTTCTGTAGTTGTTGAGAGAATGACGTGACAATTTGGCGACTGTAAGAACAAATTGCACATGAATTTGTGCTTTGTGATTAGAGACCCGGTTAATTGATCGAACGGGTAGCGGGTTTGTGTCATAAAAGGGTGGCAGTTTAAAGGGTCAAAATGGGGTCGATAAATGAGCAAGGAAAAATGAAAATGGAGAGTGAAATGAAAGAACAAATCAATACAAAACTATATTTGTGCTTTTTGTTATCAAAAATAGTTTAATGATTTAGTTATTATTTGGCTGATTCTGTCCAATAATAGCCATATATTCAATAAGAATCCCTATAAAATTGACCTTAACATGTAATCAAAGGGTGGACCTGTCCACACTTGCTTCATTGCAACAATGAGTTATCTTGTTTAGAGCTTTAGTACGGTATGGAATATTGTTCAGTTAATGGTGCATGGTCATCACAATCACACGTGTAAGCTACCCTTGGGGTTTAAGGAATTCTATGCTATGCTTAAGTAAGAAACTAGGGTGCAAGCAATGTCAGTGTTACTAAAGAAAGGGCTCAAAAGGTTTTTGAGTGAGGGGGTGGTGGGAGTTGTAGAGGTTCCCTAAATTGGTTATCACGTCTATCATGAGTTACTGGATGGGATGATGATAATTTGAACACTGATAAGATTAATAGTTATTTTGTCACTAAATAGAGAACTATTTCAATTATTTGAGCCAACTGTTTGTCTACATCGCATTTTGAAGATGCTGACCAGCTATACTATATGCTGCGTTGGGTAGCTTTTTGCCTGCTTCTTATATAATTTTTCCCTGGTGGACTGTTTGCTTTAAAGGTATGAATTGCTGAGTATGGTAAAGAAGCACTCTAATTTGTTGGGGCAGACTATAGTTGATGAGCACGATGCATCAGATGTTGAATTGGATCAAGCTTTTTGGCACGATATTCTGAATCTATATTTCGTTCAAGGCAAGCAATCAAGAGGACGCCAAGATGATGATCTCATATTTTTTGTTAGGAAAATGGTGCTTAAATATTTTGTTTCTCCTTCCACTGCATGGGTATATTTGCCAATTAGTGATTTTGAGTAAAATATATATTCTTACACTACTCTTATGTTGTTTTATTGTCATTGCAGAACATCCATGGACATAGTTCTAGTGATGACTTAAATGCCAATTCTCCTTACTTTGTACGCAGGTGGGCATCTAAGGTAAAAGCCAATCTGATTTAGCATTGATACTAGCATTTGTTTCATAATGGATTTTAATGTCCGTAGATATATCATGAGAAGCAGATGCCATGAAACTTTGGAAATTGAAAATTTAAGTAATCACTTTAAATGGTTATAACCAGAACATTTGTTTTAGCCTTTGGAGCTACCTGTTGTTCTCTTGCAAAAGCAAATGAAGAAAAATAAAATGAAGGATAGAATATGGGTTGTATTAGTGCTCTGTTGTTCTATTCTTTATCTGTTCTGTATTTTACATAAGTGTTAAATACAGTTTTTCTTTTTCATACAGTTGGATAATATGGTTGGTGACAATTTGATGGAGGTGGATTGGAGGCGATCATATTATTTGAACCTTATTGCTCACACTTCATTCACCGTAACTGTTGCTATTTGCAGGTAGTTTTGCTATCTTTTCCACATTGGTTTCTGCTCTTTTGCACTGTCATTTATCTCTTTCAAAATTGCTAGTTTTGCTTGCTTTTTTTGTTTTTTTTTCCTTTTACACTAAATAGTTTTGAAGTAAGAAAAGAGCCTTTACACATGTTTACATATGCAACCCTTGCATAAACTCTTGTTTGAGTTTTTACAATGGTGAATTGTGATTTGGGTTTGATGTATGTATCTCTCCTCAATAGCATGTTGGTTGACCTGTTAAAGCTTTTGCCCTTTTAATGAAAAAGATCTAATGTTTTGCTAGAATATGCTCCTCATGACAATATTCTTCACCATCGATTTAGTAGGAGATTTTAATATAAGTTGGTCTTGTCATCAAGAATAAATATGGTGGGAAAATTGTAAATTGTTGATTAATTTAATGGTAATTTTTCAATATGTGTATCCAGATGCCTGTATGGAGTCCTTTGTTTCATGTCACAGTCTTAAGGTCCATAAATTCACTTTAAAGATTTTCAAAATTGACTACTCTCTTTATTGAGGGAGACTCTATTTGGATCCAAAGAATTTGTCAGACATATTGCTATTATAATAACCTCTATATGGAATGCTGACATGGAAAAGAAAAGGAGTAGTTTGAAACTTTGAAAAGTATCTACCAACATCACGAAAAATACCTAATCAATCCTCTATGGATTCGCCTACATAAGCTACTGTTAAAAATGCAATATATGGGTCTGCATACCAATTGTAAATAGTATATGATACATGGCAGTTATGAAAGTTTGAAGCCACTAAATGTATCAAAGAACAAGTATGACAACTACTTATTCATTCCCTAATATATTTCCAAAATGTGAAAAACTAAGTGGTAGAGGTTTTGTGAAATCTTTTACACTAGGTTGTTAAAAGGTTTCTTTGCCTCCAAATTATTCTTAGCTCTGTAATTGTTAGTTTGAAACTTGTGGGAAGGATGCATGATGCTTACAGATCTCCTTGAGCTGTAAGGATGAAACATTGTATTTTAAGCTCATTTGTTTTAGATCATTCCCATGATTATTTAATCTGAGACTTATCTATATTAGCAATCAGGTCCTTCAACATCATCGAGTGGGGAAAGATACAAAATTGAGTCCTATATACAAGGTGTGTACATTTCCTTTATGATGGTGGATGATTTTCTAGATAATTATTTTATAAAAACCTTTTACAATCTGGTTATAATGCTGAGCTCAAGAAAATCTGGTCCATGTTATTATGAAATCTGCAGTGTTTTTTAATAATATATTTTTCCAGGTTGTAAAGACTGTTTATGCATCACCAAGCCGGGTCAATTTTCATTTGGATTCTAGGAAGGTGAGTTCTTATCCAATATTAGATGTAGTATTCAGTATTTCCTGCTGTGTTTCACTATATTATCTGAATTAGTCTATCTTATGTCCAGGAAGCAGAAACATTTCCGGCATATCCTGATATATGCTTTGCCATCGATGACTTTGATTCCACATTTGACACAGTGGTAACTTATCATATTATCTGAAGCTGTTATTATTTTCGTAATATCGAAGAGCTATAACTATTGAGTGTATCAATACAATTTCAGTCATCATTGTGACTGCTGATCTACTAACCTGTTTTGTTTTTAATTTTTTATTATTATTTTTAATTTTATTTTACTGCAGGTTTTGTCAGATGCAGATCATTGCTACTGTGTGGTCCTTAATGCACATGCTGGGGCAGCATTTCCTAGTGAAACGCCTGAGAATGAAGTTTCTGACAAATCACCAAAAACAGAAGATTCTGGAACTAATAATAAAACCAAGGTTTGGTACATTCCATTCTGATAATACACAGTGATTGAGTGCCAAGAATAATTGAATCCCACTTCCTTGAAATACATTGAATATTGGGAAATTGTTTATGGGAAGTTGGGAACCTTTTGGTTAGTAAAATTCTCAATAATAAGCTTTGCGTTTTTAATATGTATCTCACAATTGACCTTCATGGAAAAAGCAAGCTAATGGCATACAAAAGAAGAAAATAATCACTGCTAGATTTGTAACTTGGGTATTTGTTTTTTCTCAAAACACTTTTTTAATACTAGGGCGGCAAACTCGCGATACGCGTGCCATACCTAGCCATGTTCGGGAAGCTCCTTCGGTTTAGCCTTATGTCACAATATTATTTGTTGGCATCATGAAAGATTTAAACAAATATTTTTAGGAGTATAAATGTCCGCATACTATTCTTAAAAGTTTTTTTTAAAAAAAACAAGGCAATTAACATTCATGAGGCAAATAAGTAAATAAACATTTTAGAGGGTATAATTGTCCGAACACTATTCATAAAAGTTATCTCAAACCTTTTAAAAGTTAGGATTTCCTCACCTTTAATATGTTTTCATCCTCTTTTTTCATGTCCCATCACACAATTGAAAAATCTATTTGTTATACCCTTGTCTTCATGAGTTATAAGAGAAAAACACAATGGAAAAAAATTCTGAATTTTGAAAATCCCATATTGTTTTGTTTTTAGTCCTTAAGTACATTGCTTTTAATTTAACCCATAACACCAATGAATGACCAACATGGAAGCTTTTCACATGGCTCATAATCACCATTGAACTCTCCCTTGTTAACTTGAAAGGATACTATTGTAAGTAGTTTAAAAGAGCTTGTTCACTAAAGATTTAGGGGTCAACATCCTAGGCTTGAGGGTCTTGATTGGGATCCAATCTCTCCAGATGTAGTTGAGTGGTTAAGACTATCTTTGAGAAGGAAGAGTTTAAAAAATTGTGTTTGAAAAGGAGAGGGATAAGGCACTTGGTCCCAATAATTTTTCTATGGTGTTTTTTTCTAGAGAGTTTGGGATTCAATAAAGTCATATTTGATGGATTAGTTTGGTCGTATTCTTTAAAACTGAGATTTTAGGGGAAAATCACGAATTTTAACGTCATTGTCTTTGTTCCTTAAAATAACTGGTCTGCTATGATTAGGTACTATGGACTAATTAGTTACTTACTAAATGCAAAATCTTAATGAAATTATTGCTCATGCGGATAAGGGAGGTCGTTTCATACATAGTTTTACAATTACAATGTGATTTCCATTGAAAATAGACAAATTCTATGTGACGCTTTTAATTTATTTTATCATTCTTTTATGTGTTTGTGTGATGTGGGGGGGGGGATTTAAATGCCTATAATAGGGCCAATCAACCAGATTGGTTAGAAAAAAATGACCCCTTGCAACAATTAATTTGGTAAAGAAATAGTTCCGGTGATAATCTAGTAAAAAAAGTTAACTTCATGCAACAATTTGGTAAAAACAATAATCTTAGGTGAGAGTTGGCCTTAAAACTAAAAAATTTCCGAGTAATTACTCTCGAACTAATTTAATTCATTTTTGTGGTTTTTAATAGAAAATTTACTTCACTCATTTATTTTCCCCACTTAATTTTCCAACCCTTTTTATGTTTAAATATTAGAATTCCCTTGATTTACAACCCCTTATTAACGGGAAATTTTTTTTTTTGAAAGATTTGAAATAAAATTGGGTAATTTGGGATTTAGCAAAATAAACAAGAACAACAACAAAGCCTTAGTCCTACAATGATTTGGGTCCTCTCATACTTCCTCTATTGGCTTTTTTTTTTTTTTTTTTTTTTTTTTTTTTTTTTTAAAGTGTTACAGTTATCAAATGCGGCCGTATAATTTTCCAACCACTCCACTTACCTCTTACTTTATTTAAGTCAATGAAATTGCCTGAAACTATGTGTCGGTCAAAGTGTAATACTTTAAAAAAAAAAAAACATAGAGGGAGTATGAGTCGTCAAGGAACCGTCCTAAAAAAAGGACATAACAACATAATCAGTTGAAATAGTTCGAAAAAAGGTTGTGTGAAGTGAGTATAAGAAAGAACATCCAAGTAAAATTAAGAGAGTTTTAAAAGAGGACTAAGATTAAAATTTAAGAAAGTTGTAAAGAGTGGTCAAATCATGTGAGTTAAAAACATAAATGTTTGAGAAAACTTTAGCAAAGAAAATCAATAAAGTTTATAAACACGAATTAAGTAAAAAAATAAATAAATATTAAGATAAAATAAACAAAAGTATATATATAATAATGACACATCATTGACGTGAATTTTCTCCCTCCACGCCGCCTTATCTGACATCATATTTTCCTATATCCCTTAAACATTCATATCACTCTTAATTACCCTTTTCCAAATTTTCTTAGGTCTTCCCCCGCTTTTGTGATCCCTACACTTTGCAACTCTTCAAGCCTCCTTATCGAAGCTTCACTTGGTCTCCTTACATGCCAAACCACTTTAAGCAATTCTCTTTCATTTCTTGTATATAATCGATGTAACCCCTACATTCTATCTAATTATCTCATTTCTCAACCGATCCTTTCTTGTATAATTACACATCCATCGCAACATGTGCATCTCCGCCACATTCATCTTATGCACGTGGCAATGCCTTACAACACCTACATTCGGTATCATATAATAATGTTGGTCTTATTGTCGTTTGGTAGAATTTACCCGATTATATGAGTCATGCTGTGTATTAATAAATAAAAACCCTGTCGCACTCTTCCACTTTAACTAACCCCCTTTGGTACGATGAGCTACATCTCCATCCAATTCTCCATCCTTTTGAATAATAGATCCCTGAAGACCGAACCTTGGGCAATCTTCCCATCTAAGGTGATCACCCTTGCGTCGTGTTTCTCACACAGCTAAACTGCTAAATTTACATTCTAAATACTTTGTCTTACTTATGCTCACCTTAAAGCCATGTCTGTCTCCACAATTCCAACTTACATTAGCATGCACCATGATATATAATCTTAAATTGAACTCGTTAATTCATGCATGACTATATCAAAAAGAAAAGAGTTAAGTGTATCACCTTGATGAACTCCGATTGTAATAGGGAACTCAGAGTTTACAACGGTGTGCGGTACACTTGCCCTAGCTCCCCTCGACATGTACTTAATGATGTCAATATATTTCTACGAAATGTCTTTCATTGTTAAAGCATACCAAACCCTTATCATAGGCCTTCTCCAATTCAATAAAAACCTTATGTAAATCCTTTATCTTATCCCGATAAATCTCCATTAGTTGTCTCATAAGATGGATTGCCTCCACAGTTTATCTTCTAGGCATAAATCCAAATTGGTTTCCCGAGATATTCAAACTAATCCTTAACCATTGTTCTATCACTCACTCCCAAAGTTTCATTGTATGACTCATTAGTTTGATCCTTTGATAATTAGCACAATCTTGGACATTGCCTTTGTTCTTATACAAAATACTTTTCCTCCACTGCAAAGGCATCTTATTACATCACCCAAATCTTGTTGAAAAAAGTAGTCAACCATTCAATTCTTCTTTTTCCCAAACATCTCCAAACCTCAATTGGAAAATCTAAAATGGGAAAAATAAATTTAAAAAACACAAAAACAAATTAAAATACACATTTTAAGGAGGTTGTAGGATAAAATAAATTTTTTGATCTAAATGTTGCTTTGCTTATTTTTTTACCAAATTGTCGCATGGGGTTAACTATTTTTTCCAAATTATCGCCGGAGTTCTTTTCTTTTTTTGCACGGTGTTGCATGCTTTTTTTTTATTTTTTATATTTTTTTTTTGTAAAACCAATTTGTTAATTAGCCCCAATGATAGTGAGTTGGGACTTACTTGATAACATCCTTTCTAAAAGGGTTTTAGTGTGCGGTGTAGGTATAGGTTAAAATGGTTTTTATCCTATGCTTTTTAGTCATGGTCAATGGGCTCCCTAGAGATTGGTTTTCTTCGTCTAAAAGTGTTATCCATTGTCACTTTTTTCTCCACTCTAATTGTTGATAGTCTTTGAAGGTTGTTGCATAAAGGGGTTTGGGAACGTTTAATGAAAGGTTTTAATGCGACAAAATAGAGGAAATTCTTGTGTCCCATTTGCAATATGTTTAGGAGGCTATTTTGTTCTTGGAAACTTGATTCGCAATTTCAAATTAGTGCTCACTGTGCTACTGGAAGTGGTATCTGATCTAAGAATTAATCTCACCAATGCAGTTTGTCTGGGATATTTCTTGCTTTGGCTTTTATTGGTACTGTGTCATAAAGTCATGTGACCATGTCCATTGCAGTGTTATTATTTGAGATGAAAGTTCCAGGGCTTGGGTATATTTCTATGCTTCATTGCAATGTTATTATTTGACTTAAAAGTTGGAACTAGGCAATCCTTGGGGAAATGTGACCATGTTCATTTCTGGTTATTATAGCAGTTATCAAACTCAGTATTTCATTTGAAAAGTTTTGAAATGTCCACTGTACTCTTCCGTACAAGCTTTCTGACTGAATGACACAATTATGGCTGCAGGTTACTATATTTTCTGGATTTGTGAGCTATCAAATGGTTCGTGATGCATATGATGGTAATTTTTTACAACTCAACAATCCAGTACCTATGTTTTCTTAGCAAGGAGTGACAATTTTGGGATGTTAATGTTGTTGGTGTTTCATTGTTAATATAATTAGAAGACTTTGTCATTGGATAAGTTTCAAGCATTTATAACCACAATCCAAACGTGTATGGTAATCTATAAAGTAATCTGATAACACAAAAGAAGTTAAAAACTAGAGAATTATTACATGAGATAGACATGACTGACCAAGCATATTAAAGGCTTGAAATAATGTTAGACAACCTCAAAGAGAATATGCGGTTACGTGGATTAAATTCCGTTTCTGATACATTCTACTGATTAGCAGTTTCTGATACATGGGGTTTTTATCTGTGACTCCCTGAGTTCCTGGGTAGTAGTGCCTTAAGGCTGCACATGACTTGAGAATCTGAGTTGCTGATTCAATGTCCTGATAACCATCTATCTTTGATATGAAGTTATATTAATCAATTTCTGGTTACAATCTATTTTTATTGGCACTCCTATAGTTTACCTTACTTATGTGCCTCTAATTAAAATTCACATTGCGGATATCTGCGGACTTCTCAAAGCTTATGCTCAACCAGTGTATTACAAAGCCCGCAGAAGGTGCTAGGTGATCAGGTTAGAGCGCTTTCAAAGAGGCACACTGGAAGTGCACAAGGTGCAGATGAGGCGAACCTGTTGTGCACCCAAAGCGCATCTGAGGTGCACTTCAGTCAATTTTTAAAATTTTTTATGCACTGCGCCTCACTTCAAAGAGGTGCACCAAAGCCACCTTGAGCTTCTTTATACATTGGGCTCAACTTCTTTTATCATTCTCACCAGAACTCAACTCTATGTCTGTATGAACTGGCATCATTTAACCACTTTGCAACTTTTGTACTTATTTTATTTATGTTTTTTTTTTTTTTTTTTTTTTTTTGTGTGTGTGTGTGTTTTATGGGTTGTATTTTTTAATTTATATTATTAATTTTTTTTGAATTCTTGAAGGGTTTTGTACCATATGATTAGGATGACAAACCCTTCAGTTTGAAGATATGTTGTCACATCACAAGGAGTTTTCAGAAATTTTGGTGAAATTATGAACTAAGTGAGGATGTGTTGTGTGAAAAGATTACTAAGTAATGGAGCATAGAAACATTTGGGTATGTTTGTTTAATGTTGACTGGACATAAGACACGTGGTTGACATTGAAAGATGCAATGAAAGTTGGGGTGCTGTATCAGGCAATACTCATAGAGGAGGTCATATAAGATTTGATTTAAAAAGAAGCATTAGTGGAACTGATGTAGGATTTCCATACTCTTCATTTAAAAATACTCATAGAGGAGGATATATAAGATTTGAATTAAAAAGAAGCAAAATAGGAAAGTGGTTTGAAGTTGATCATTTAGGAAATTTATGCATTAGTGGAGATTGAAAGGGACTGTGTGTGATTGTTCTGGAGAGATCTTCATATTATCCAATCCAGCCAGAGTTTGTGTCATATCATCAGTTTGGCACCCAAACTTGTTGCTGAACACTTTTTAACTATATTACTATAGATGTACAGTTGAGGAAGCTGTTCTTGAATCACAACACCTTTTGATTTTCAATTCCGCTTGTGCAATTGATAACATTATTTTGATCAATGAACAAGAATGTGTTAGCCGGCCCCAAATTATTTTGGAACTAAGGTTTTGTTGTTGTTGAACGAGAATGTGCTTAAAGATGCCATAATTTTTAAACATGGATTTTTTTTTAAGCTAATCTGGAAATACTTCTAGTTCAGGCTCTGTTTTCTCAGCTGATATTGGCTGAAATAAACTAACTTCAAAAAAAAAAAAAATGAAAAAAAAAAACTTAACTTGATTTTGCTGATCCCTTGCTTTATTTGGCTTATTCACTGGAACTCATTTTAATAAGTTAGAGAAGATAGAGCCTAAGTTTAGGAAAGCACGGGTCGCAAGTAAGTGCAGTGAAAGTTTATCTTAATACTACTATTTTGAAACTGCGGAACACCAGCAACCCAAAAACGCTAAAAGTACTAGACCCTTTTGTCCCTTTTACTAGATGGTCTATTTTGTGAAAAGCTTTAACTTCAACTCTCTCTCTCTATTTTTTATTTTTATTTTTTTGTTTTCTTTGTTTTATAACTTTATTGAGCTTAATAGGGCAGTCTGTAGATTCCTAAAATGAGTGTACGTATATGTTATAATGTATAAGTGGGGGTGGCCCTTTTTGAATCCTGGTCGTCTGTGTCCTCAAGCAACAATGTCTTAAAAAAGGAATTCTTTTCAACAGAACTCCGTAGTACTGTTAAGTATCATGAATACATCCATGCAGTCTTTTGATACATGATCTGCCTTGTGTTGGCATTGAGGCTGTCTTTATATGCTATTTATGTCTCAGTACTTTCTTGGTCAATACCTAAGCAAACTGCACTAAACCTCACATATATGTGCTTCTCATCCATAAATGATGAGATCACTTGGATGCATTTGTGATACTAATACATGTCATTGAGCACTTTTCAGTCTAATCAGATTGGTCTACTTTGGGACATTGTTGTCTTGATATTTAATTATTGTGGGATCTTGGATGAGAATTCAATGTAACTTTCATGCTGCTGTAAGATTATACTGGCTCGCATTCGTGTGTGTTGCAATTTTAAGAGTTCATGAGCTTTGACTTGCAAAAAACATTCCACCTTTTGTCATTGCTATATGTTCTCTTTATAGATTTTGGAAATCTATGTTGACATCAGAATATCTAGTTTTGTTTTCTTTGCTTTGCCTTCTCATTGCTCTTTGCGTTCTCATTGTTCTTCATTCTATACTTCTTCAGCAGGGAGAAATCGTTTTGGGAGTCTGCTTTCTTTCAGTCATTCTTCAGGTAAATTAGACAGAATTTACATGAAAGGTCCAGGCGGACGTGGAGAAGTTGAAGTTGCTGTTTCTGGTGTTGAAGGTACTAGAATATTTAACTCCTTCAATGGACTAGTTCACATACGTCTTATTTTCGATTTGTAGCTCAATTGTTAAATGTGCCTGCACCAGCATCACTGCCTTGTGGGATGGGTTTTTTTTTTTTTACCTATATATATACACGAGGGTTTGTGCATTTAGTCATCTATTATTTTCTGTGAAGGTCCGGAGATGATTTACGTTTTTTGCAGCATAATAATAACGGATATGTTTATAACCTTTTGGACTTAATGGCAATAGAGAGTAGAGATGCAAAATTTCCTTGAAATTTTTGAAAATGTAATGTATAATTGTATATAGGTCCTAATACATGTCTTAGAGATTTCATTTAGCTTCTCATTTCTTTGTTTTTTTTATAAGTTACTTTTACCTATTTCTTGTTATGCTTGTCTCCATTTGTTTATGGATAACTAAGAAAGTATTTGTGTAAATTGGGAATAATAAGGGAAACCTTTAATTGCAGATAATCTAAGTGGAAATAAAGCTTAGGTGTAGCAAAGGAAACCTCTTTCTTTGAAATTTGGTGAAGATGTTATTGTATATTGTTCTTGGTATCAGGCCCGGCCCTAACCATGTGTGGCTTGAGCGGCTGTACAGAGCCCAAAATTTAGGAGGCCCTTTTGTACTTCTTCCTTAAAGTGTCAAACCTGTAAACTTGCATAACATTAATTCTTTCCCATTTTTCCATGGATAAACATCCTATATTCCATAAATATCAATTTATCTATTTGACTCTTCATATCTTCCTCTTAAAATTCCAAAACTCCTGAATCCAAAGGGTCAAATACTGACAATCAATTTCAAGCAGCTAAAATTATTATTCTCTATATGAATTCGTCCAATTTTGAGTACAATTCATCAATTATTCTCTCTAATTTTCAATCTCTTAATTGATCTATACTTGGGGAATTATTTTGATTTTCTCATTAACAAAATAAAATAAAAAAAAATAAAAAAAAATAAAAAAAAATAAAATAAAAGAGAGGTGTTGCTCTGATGCAATTATTAGAATTGATGGTAGCTCTTCAAGATTAATTTGGAATAAGATAACAAAGATTAATTTATTATGTGTTTTTAGCTTCTCACACTTTGGTTTCTATTGATTATTTTTTACCTATTGATGTAGTTAGTGTTGATACATTGTCGCCATTTGTTTATGGATATTAGTTAAAAAGGCATATCTCTTCCATGATCATCTGAAGCTCCTAATTGGACCACATAGAATAATTGCACGTTCAACTTCTTTGTTTGCCAATCAACTGTATGGTATTGGTCTGTCATTTCTGTGTAGTAATGAATTAACATAATCCCCCAGTCTGTTTTCTATAGAGATTTTTAACAAAAGTTAATCATATGAATGCTCTTTTCCAGAATTAATAGTACTTTGGAGATTCAGTTGTTTTGCCTGGTGTATCCATCTAAATCCTAAGCCTCCAAACACCAACCTTAAGCCCCTTTGCTGCGCCATCTGAATTCAGAGTAAACCATTTTGGTGGAGGAATTTTATGTGATAATAACTTTATATTCAGTCACTAAAAGTTTGGTGTTTACCAATTTCCTATTATATTATCATTCCTTTGGGCCAATTCTCCGCGATTAACTCATTTGCAACTGTTGTATCTTAGGTAATCTCCCTTTTCTATTCTTTTTGGTATTTTACTGGAATTGTAGACAAACTAAGGGAAAATTGCCTGTGTTGGTTCGGGTATTTAAGACGGAGACCCCAAGGTGCACCGGTACAAAGAGTGGAAGAGTGGGATCATGGAGAACTTAAACGAGTTAGAGTGAGACCGAAAATGACTTGGTTGGAAGGAGTTAGGAAGGATATGAAGCAAATAAATTTGCATAAGAATGAGGTATTTGATCGTAAGGGATGGAGGAGGAAAATTTTTGTGGATGACTATACGGAATAATCACTTTTGGTTCATATAGCCGACCCTACTTATGGGATTAATGCTTTTGATTGATTGATTGATTAACTACTTCTTTTCACATTCTCTATGCTTGTGTGGGGGTGATTAGGGAGTAGAACTTTCATACTTTCTACAGTATTATAGTATACAACTGTACATGTTATACCATCTAATCTAGGAATAACTTCATAGCAGGACAGGCTTGATTTCCACTTTTGGTGAGAGCTTTTGTGTGGACTTTTAGCATTGGGTAGAAATAGCACTAACAATATATTCCAAAGGAGACGAACAGGTCCTCAGGGATGGTAAATTTGTCAAATATATGCATGTTGTGTCATAGTACCAATGTCAATAGTGATTGGTGAGTCTTGCTCCCATGTCTTCCTTCACTGTGAGATAGCAAGTAATATTAATATAGTGTATTTGGACTGGGGTTATTAGGTTCTCTATCATATTGTTTTTGGTCTTCTGCAAGTTTTCATTTGGGCCATGGAAGGGAAAAAGAGATGTGGTGCAATGCTTTTATGCTGATTTCACGGTGGCCGTGGTTAGAATGAAATGCATACATCCTCTCATGAACTAGTTTAACTAAGAATTTCTATTGGATAAAACTCCTAATGCAGCTTCTTTAAGGGCTAAGGCAGTTGGGGGGTTGGGGGGGGGGGGGGGTGTTACAGTAAAATGGGATAATTCAATGGAACTGGGCTGATTTAATCTGATTTGCTGCTATAAGACAATGCGTCAAATAAATTAAGTCCTAATGTATATCTGTATGAGATTTTGCACTTGCGCAGATACCAATTGACTTTTGGTTTATTTTTTGTTTGGTACCAACTGACCTTTTTTTTGGGTACAAAAAATGTGGTTCTACGGTACCGTGATAGCAAAAAACTTTGCGTGAAATTACCATTATACCCTGCGCAAGTCTATCTTAGGTATGCGCTGTGACTTGCTCCTTTGCAACTTTTAGGGTTGCACAGACTCCTGGAAAGAATTTGTTTTTGGGTGTTAAATGGAGAGAGAAAAATAGAGATGCATGTGATGAGGAGAGAGATAGAGAAAAGACAACTTAAAAAGGACAGAACATTTGATGCGAATAGTATGAACAATCCATTTTGGCAAATGGTGCAAATAATCAGAAGCAAAGTTAGTATGAAGAAGGCGTTATTATTTATGGAAAAGGAACAATATGAAGGTTCTAGCTGTTTTATCCACTTTTTTTTTCTTGCTTATGTATCAATTTTTCCTTAAATTTCTGTATCTATATGTTCATTTGTCTTTAAACTTATATATTTCTTTTTGGATCAGTAAAAATGGTACTAACTTCCTCAAAAACACAATACACTCGTACAACTTTAAGCTTTTTGGAGATTGGGAAAACTTTCTAGGAATGACCCCCCTGCTTTCTAAAGCTAAACTTAAAAGCATTATCGAGGGGTAATACAATCATTCAGACACTATTCACATTTACAATTGATTGAACCATTCATCATCCATTCTTTTAACTTGCTTATTAGAGCTCTTATTCTACATTTTGTATTCTCTTTAATCTGCTGTTCAATTTTCTTTTAAGTATTAAGCTATTAAGTTTATAATTCTGTAGAAACCATACTGTAGACTAGCTGCAAACCAAACTCTGTAGACTAGCTGCAACTATTTTCAAAAATAACGTTTTTTCTTGAATTTGGACCCTCATTTGTTAGATCTACTGAAAAAGATGAGGAAGATTCTATTTAATATAATCCCCACACACTCCTATCCAAACTATCTCTGCAGTTATACACTAAGAACTATACTGAGAAATGTGAGAATTAAAAAAGTGTTAATGAGTCAGCCCCTGCCCCACATATCAAGCAGCTAGAACCGTTACTAATTCCTATCTTCTGCAATCTCTCTCTCGTCTTCCATGTTATAAACCGATGTTTTAGGGATTTGTAACTTGTTCTAGATGCTGCTAAGCCCATGGTTCAACTACTTCGTCCCCACAGAGAAATTAATACCCGTTTTTAATAGAGTATCCACTCTTAAGATGCCACAGTTTGCTGAAATCCTAGATGGAACTCATTCCTGACTTTTTATGTCTTCCAGTCCAGGAGGGTTGTAACTCTACCAGTCATGCTCCTTCACACACACTTTATGAACCAACATCACACAAAGATTATCCTCTTTGGAAGCTATTTGTCATTATTTTTAATACTGAGTGGCTGGATATATAGAGAAAAAATACGGTGAGGGAGATTATCTGCGCTACATTAAATTACGGAGTACAAAAATTACATAACTATAGAATTATTGATTATAGCTTAAGTTTTAATTCTGAATACAGTTAATTTGTATTTCAGATGATTGGATGTCTCATTTTTCAAGGTGTATTCTCAAATTTTGTACAATTTATTATTGTGCTTGGTGATAGATGATTAAATTATCTTGTTTAACCAGATCAAAGCCAGCATTCATCAAGGCCTTCTTCACCTGTTGATTCAAAAAGTGGATTTGGTTTTGCTACAATTGTCCGGAGAGCTGCATCTGTTGCTTCTGTTGCTGCTAAACAGGCTTATGCAGCTGCTTCAAATAATTCAGATGATGAGATGTTGCCTCTTAACTGCTCTTTAATGTCTGTATCATTGCCTTGGGAACACATTGCACATGATCTCTTGTTTAAGGTAACAGTTAATGAAAATTGTTATTATTGTGCACTTTTGTGCTGCAAGTTTCTTTACTTCAAAGTGAATGTATTCTAGCTTTGCTGGCCTTTTTACATTAGATATCTCATCAGTATGCTGCCTTTTCTTATACGTTTCCTTGTTCTATTTTCATCAAAATCAGGGTGGTCCACCGGTGAGCATGTGATCTTTTATCTTGCTGCGCAGAGGATGCACAATGCATAACTATCAAATACACAATTTGCAGAGTATTCTAGATGTTGGATCTTCTGTCCATATCCTTAGATTGAAAATTCCCAGAAACTGGGTTAATCGTGAATTCTTGAGTGTTTTTGTGTTAGATGGTTCTAATGCGTCCTCGAGTTTGAGCAAAACTGCATTCTACAACTATTGTATATATGTGAAGTTTAGTTCTTTTCTTTTCTTTTGCCTTGGTCTTTTCTTAGGAAATGGGATGAAACTTGCATAGGAATGGCAAATAGCTGATGGAGTCGAATCTGCTCCTGTATTTTGTGGTGCCCTTGTATTTTCAAAGGAGGTACAGAGGGGGATTGAGGGAAGCAATATTTTTCTCGTTTGATGTGCATTGCTGTTGCCAGATAAATGTGAAAAAACAAATATAATACCAATACTTTCTAGTTTAATGGTATATTAAGTGTTATTATGCCTAAATGCTTTTGTATTTGTTTTTGTTTCCAGGCAAATGCTAAAAACGCCGTAGGTCACTTAATAAAAAGCATCAATTTCAGAATTTTATTAGCAAATGATATATTTATAAGAGTACTTATGTTAAAGCAGAAGATCTTATTTTCCCGCTCAATTAATTAGTCTCTTTCCCCAAAATTCCTTTCATCTTTTGTCTAATATTTTTGAGGAAAAAAAAAAAATCCACTCCTTCATTTTTAATAGAAAAAATTCATAGGAATAATCCCACCTTTTGGCCATTCGTTTTTAATAATCCCACATTTGACAAATTATTTAATAATCCGACCTTTACTCCCTATTTTTTTTTAATGGTCCCGATAGGTCATGTAACCTGTTATAACATGACACGTGACGGCTTGTAATTTGTCAAAAAAAAAATTAAAAAAAAAAGATTTATTTAAAGAAAAAATAAATTAATTCCCCAAGCAACCACCCACCACCGAACTACTACCACAGCCCCACCCCCTTCATATGAAACCACCGCAACCCCACTTCCCCTTCACCTGAAACCACACCCTCCCTCTCCCAAATCCGACCACTCCACCCCCTCCCTCTCCCAAATCCAACCACCCACCCCCTTTCCCTCTCAAATCCGACCACCCCACCTTCTTCCCCTTTGAAATCCGACCACCCACCCCCTTCCCCTCTCAAATCCCTTTTCGTGGGATTCAACAAACATCCTCATCAAGTTCTAGAAAAATCCAATACAAATGGGTAAATCAGAGACGATTCTCACTAAACCCATTTCTGTTTTTTGGGTCTTCGTCGGTACCATCGTCGAGATCCGAAACTTTTCAATTCCAATGAACGCTGCAATAATCGTTGCCTCATGCCGCTGCATTTCATCTTAGTCAAGCTCTAATTGCTACTGCTGTCGGAAAATACATTATTGTTAAAATTGCTAAACCTTGATATTCAATTGTTAAAATTAAGATTATCTTTTTGTGTGATTTTGATTATACGAAGTATGTGGTTGTTACTGTGATTGAGTTGGTATGTGATGTTGTTGAATATTGCTTGGTGTGTTGTAGAGTTTGATGTTGTAAGAAATGCAGCAATAAGTACAAATCCACCATTGATGGTGGGTTTTGGGGCAAGGGGGATTAGGTGGTGGTTTAGGGGTCGCGACGTAGGGGAGGGGGGTTCAGCGCGGCGATATTGCCGGGTATGGGGTCTAGGTAGCTCAGCCGGCGCAGGGCTGGGAATAGGGGATCGGGGATGGGAGGCAGGGGGTGGCAGAGGGAAGAAGTGGGTGGTGGTTTTGAGGTTGGCTGGGTTTGGGGACGTGGGTGGGGTTTCAGGGAAGGGGAAGGCCGAGGCTGGGGATTTCAGGATTGGGTGGGTGATTTCAGGATTGGATGGTGGGGTTGTGTGAGGGTTGAGGTTGGTGGTGGTTGGGCGAGTGGTGGCCGGTGACAAGTGAGGAGTTGAGGAGGTGGTGGTGGTTTGGGTGGAAGTTCAGGCGGTGACTATGGAAGAGGTGGGAGGAGATGAATTAAAAAAATTAAAAAATTTTGACTGGTTTAACCGGTTTCTGGTCAAATGGGACCAATAAAAAAGAATGGGGGGTAAAGGTCGGATTATTAAATAATTTCTCAAAGGTGAGATTATTAAAAAAGAATGGCCCAAAAGTGGGATTATTCCCATGAATTTTTCCTTTTTAATACCTTCATTTATTACAGTATTATCAGCACCGTAACAAGTCTTTGCAAATAATTTATGCCCACAGTCCGCACCAAGGAAGTGTCGAAAGTAGCATAAAAAACACCATTGTTGTGAATTATCACTGCTTTTTTCGACGGGGATAACTCTTTCCCTAATTTTTTTTTCTACTCTTTTCATTAGGGTTTTCACTTTAGTTTAAATTAAATGGCAATTTTGTTGTTGGAATTATCATTGGCGATAGTGATTTACCTTTTTCTAAATTATAGATGAAAATGAGTAAAAATGGTATATAAAATTGTCTTTTACCATCGTTAAAAAGCCACTATTTGAATTAGCTACACATTTAAATTTTTATATTATTTTGCCATGACTAAAAAAAATTGTCATGACTCTTCTTCTACATAAGCCGGTAGTGTAATTGAAGGATTAAATTACTCCAAAAATTGCATCCACTCTTGAAAATTGAGAGGCATTTTAAAGGGGATTGAAGCTGCAAAAGGTATGAATTTCAAATTGAAATTATTCTATTTTACGAAAACTCGAAAAAAGGATGATAGCATCACCGAATACAATCTAAAATTGAGGATAAAAGTACTAATTTTCATACACAATTATAATCATGAAATTCGTTGGGGATTTGTAGATGTTAACTGATTAGACCAAATGAATCTAGTTGGATGCAAAATAATTTGTTATATTGATATTTCCTAACTTATTGATGTCAATTGTAGATAATGGCCTTTATGAATTCTTCTCCTATTAAGCGTAACAAATGTGATTACGGAGTTCCATTTGCAAGGTTGTTAACCTCATGGACTAGAGAATTCCTCATATCAAGTTTAAGGATTGCTTTCCTTTATGATCCAAAGACTGAAACAAGGGGTGCAAAAGCTTTGAGTGGGTGGATGAAGAGGATTGCATTCACTGACATAGCACATAGGGAAGTCATTAATCAACTGCTCTTGGACAAGAAGCTTATGAAAGTTGAAATGAATTCATTGCAAAGGTGGATGATCTAACTAGACAGAGAAGATGTCTACTCAATGAAAACGATAATTTGAAGCTGAAATGCTTTAAATTCTGATAGGAAGAAGAAATTGACCTTAGGAGGGCAGCACATGAATTTGATTGTAGCCGATGGTAGGAAATAGAATGTTGTGCTTGTGATTTGCTATATGTATTTGTAGCTTTAGTAGTGTATGTATGCAATCTTAAAAAATGTGTAGGCTTAATCATGGATGGTATGTAATGCTTCAATGAACAAGAACAAGTACTTCAAATGTTTAATTTAAGATGTAATAGTATGTTATTTTAATGGAAATGAATGCAAGAGAAGTTTGTACTACCATTGACTCCAGATATTAGCATCATCATTAACAACCACTAGTTCAAATGCACATACAATAACTTGTTCATACACAAAAGTAGTCGACAAAATGCAAAAGTAGGTCATAATAAGTTTATACATTAGTTAGATCCAAATGTCATAAACAATTCAAGCACACAATAACATGTGCCTTTAAATTTTCTTTCCTAAGTGGTTGTAGCTTGGGTTTTGGTTGTTTTATGTTGGAAGGTGCTGCAACTGTAGTAGAAGTAGATGCTTATTGGCTAGTTGTAAATGCCTGGAACCTCTGGGGAAATACTCGGTAAGCAATGCTGTGAGGCCCATCAACCTCATCTCTAGTAGTAGTTGAGCTTTTTGTAGCCTGTCACACAAGCAAATAGAGTTTGTAAACCATTTGCAAGGGCTAGAAATGCATTCTAACAAACACAATCATACTAACCTTTCTAGCATTCCTCCCTTCTTTTTTCTTCCTTATGTGAATTAACCTAAGGAGTTTGTAGTGGTGGCTTGCCACCTTTGTTTTGAGGTGATTTTGCTGTTAATGCTTTTTGCTGGTGGATTCTTGCATATCTTTGCAAAGTGCCTATATTGGCCACAATTCTTGCATTGGTTTAGCTGCTTACCTTTCTTTGTTTTGTTCCCCATGTGTTTTTGAAGTACCCTCTACTCTTTCTTGCCTATATCGGAACCCTAATTGCCGAATGTATGTTGAAATTGCCCAGAATTTCGATTGTTGTCATCTGAAAACCCTAATTTGTTTCCTTCTTTGGTGGAGTTCTTATTTGAAGAATCAATCATACGTATGAGCTGGTCGGTATTGAATCTGGGTCTGTCGTCGAATTCAAATCACTTCATTACTTGTCTTTTGATCTTTATTCTTCATTATTCACCTCAATTAAGCCCTACTTTGTTGTTTAATCTTAATCAACATAATTTTAATTCTAATTGGTAAGTGCTCTGATTGCTAGCGGTAGAGGTTGTCTGAGACACACTTTATCCCAGCACTAAGGACTAGGCGTAGGATGGAGTATATGCTCATAAGCTAAGAGATATTTATCTCTACTTTAAGTAGAATGGACATATAGTATGCATAAGAGATTAATAAGAGCTAAAATGCAATATGAAAAGCTTGTTCCCACTCTTATGAACTCTAAGTCGAAGCTTGGCACTTGATGGCAATGTCATCTTGTTAGAGATATCGGAAAATATATGTGTGATATATTTTCCGTAGATATCATTTAAGTAAATAATATATTTAATTAGGATATTTATGTTAAGATATTATTTTGAGAATATATCTTTAGGATTTATGGTTAGACGTATATCTTTTAGGAAGATTGTTTCCTATCTTATGAGCTTAGGTTTTGTATAAATACTCAACCTATTGATGAATAATAATCAAGTCATTCTATTCTATTTCTCTCTAATTTGTCATGGTATCAAGAGCAGGTTAAATCTTGGGACCGCTCACAAAAATTTCCCCCCTGCCGGTGGGTTAGAAAATTAAACCCATCGGTGGGATTCAAAATTTTGCTTCCGCTATGCAATTAATATTTTTAAAATTTTTATTTTTTTGGGTTGGTACACGTATCATATATGTGTATGTGATTTTTTTTTTTTGGGAGATTTTTTTTTTTTTTTGTGAGTATGTGAGTGGACTTCCTCCACTATAACACATCTTTGGAGATGAAGAAATTAAAAAAACGGCTCTCTTGTGTCGTGAGACAAGATATATTTGGTTCTCCTTCTGCCGTGAGACAAGGTTTGTGAATTGATTTGAGCATGATTTTGCTCTTTTGAATTTGAGTTTGGTTTTACTCTGAAAAACTAATAAAAAATTTGAGTGTGGTTTACTCTGAAAGACCAAGAGATTTGAGTGTGGTTTATTCTGAAAGACCAATAAAAGATTTGAGTGTGGTTTACTCTGAAAGACCAATAAAAGATTTGAGTGTGGTTTACTCTGAAAAACCAATATTTGATTGAAGCTCGGTTTTGCTCTGGAAAAACCAAAATTATTATATTTGCAGGTTCGAAAAGAATGACGTTCCTGCTTGATTGATTGATGACTGATGAGTTCGAAAAGATGAACGTTCTCATCATTGAAAAAGAAGAAAAAAAATTGAAGGCGACATCACAAGAGTGTGCATCTCGGCTTCAACAAAGTGAAGAATTTCCAATCGCAACGTTCGTGTTACTGCCATTACAATTGCGGGAGGGTGTTAGAGATATCGGAAAATATATGTGTGATATATTTTCCGTAGATATCATTTAAGTAAATAATATATTTAATTAGGATATTTATGTTAAGATATTATTTTGAGAATATATTTTTAGGGTTTATGGTTAGACGTATATTTTTTAGGAAGATTGTTTCCTATCTTATGAGCTTAGGTTTTATATAAATACTCAACCTATTGATGAATAATAATCAAGCCATTCTATTCTATTTCTCTCTAATTTGTCACATCTCTAATTCTTTAATTCTTACACAGGAGTGTAGCAGGTGCTTTTTAGTAACTAACTTTTTCTAGGCCTAACAACATTATTGCCTACATAGTTCAGCAAATTTGCTTATTCATGTATTCCCTTCAAAAGCCACACATTAATGCACTTAAGCACATCATCACATAAGTCAAAGGTACCCTTGATCATGGTTTTCATCTTTATCGCTATGCACCCACCCGGATGATCTCCATCACAGATGCCGATTGGAACGGTCCTGCCAGGCATAGTTCTACCTCCAGATGTCCTATGTCCTCTCGGGTGATAATCTCATTTCTTAGCAGACAAAAAGAAGAGTTACCTTGTCGTCCCTATTCGCAGGGCAATTCTGGTTTATTTGTTGAAATTATAATGACAAAAGGGAAAGAATTACAAAACTAACTTGTATTCAATTCGATTAAAACTAACTACAATAAAAGCCCTTATATAGGCATACCAAACAAAGGTATAGCTAAGAATGCATGACCCATATTCACACGTCTAACTTTAAATTTACATTATACATCAGGGTGTATCATGCTTCCTAAATTTATGCTCCTTAATTGAAGGATTTTTGTTATTTCCTTTCCATAATTTTAACTCCCATATCCATAATTGTTCATAATCAGTTTTTGAAAAAATAGATAATTTTTAGAGAGAAAATAAAATTTCAAGGGAAAGAAATAAATTTTTTAGAGAGAAAATGATGGCTCATGGTGAATTTCGTCACGATCTATGATTGTCGATTTGCACTTGATGATCACTAGATTGATGTTTTTGACAATTGATATTTAATTTTAGATTTTGTCACCAAATGAGAAGGTAGTTTTTAATTATTTTTTTCAATTTATATTTCATAATTTTATTGTTGATGATGATTTTTTTATATTATTATATTTGTTCATGGATCAATGTTAACGAATTAATCACTGAAAGAAAATGTAAATTTCTTTTGATTATTATTATTTTTTTTTTTGTGTTATTTTCGAAGGTTGAAGATGAAGTTATTTTGGATTGGGATAAATGTTCTTTTATCAGTTTTTTTGATCCATATTCATTGGAATGAATACGTTCATCGAGTTTAATTAATACGTTCTTTAGGTCTAAACTATACGTTCTTTATAGTCACAAATTATATTCTTTGGATTTGAACTTCTTTACGTTACAAACTATGTTCATTTAGTTGCGTATTTTTTCAAAAAAAAATATCAGCTGATTGTATATATGTATATTTTTTGAAACCAGGATCATCATAAAGGTTGATGAAGACGATATACGTTTGGGACCTCTTCTATTGATGATTGATTTTCTGATAGGTCTAAAGAACATTCGCTATATTAATAAAGAACATGATAATATTATTTAAAGAGCATTATTTATATTTACCTAGCATGTTAAAACAAAATTTAGAGAACATTTCACAATAAGTAATGAATATTGTGTGACAATAAAGGTACATTAAAATTACAATAAAAGAACATGGACATTTTAAAATCATATAATGAACATTATAATAATACACATGACCCAGATGAATATTATAACAAAATATAAAAATATATAATTGGTTATTTAGAGAACGAATTTTTTTTTAAAAAGAAAGAGAACATAACAAAAAATATTGGAATTTGAAATTTTGAAAATGAATTTCAAATTTTAAAATTTGAAATTTGAAATTTGAAAATGAAATTTGAAAATGAAATCTCATAAAAAGAATTTTAGAGAGGGAAATTATTGAAAACTGAATATTTTGAAATGATTTTTTTTTTCTTTTTTGAAACAGAATATTTTAAAATGATTTGACATTTAATACGTGGTAAAAATCAATAAAATTACTACGTTCTTTATATTTCAATGTTGTGTTCTTTTATAAAATCGTGATGTTCATTACAAATATAAATTATGTTCTTTCCGCATTTTTTTTTAAAACTAGTTTTGATCTGGGTATACCTTACGCATGATACACCCGGATATACAAACCAACAACTATAATAATGCACAACTAAGTAACCCACTTAACTCCACATATTCAGCAAAATACTTAACAACCTAACAAAACATGTTCCTATCCTAAATTATAGGAACTATTTTGAATCAATCCAACATTATTATAATAATGTATATGCGCTTATTTATCAAGCAAGCCGATTCAACACCAAATAACAAAGCAAATCCCCCGGTTTGTTTGCGAAAAGATAGCTATAGATCATGTTCAGGTCCCACATAACCCTTCTTCATATCAGTATGCGGATGTTTTCACTAAGGGTATGGTATACCTTGACAACTATTCTTGGACTTCAAATTCAGTATGAGAGTTTGTCCTTCTCCTGTACAAGGGTATGATAGAGTATTGTTAATATTATCCGCATTAATTTTGTAAAAAAATAATATTTTGTAATTATATAAACCCTAATTCCTCTAATATGTGGTTGTACATAGACCTGACAATCCTTATCCAAACTCGATGACCCGACCCGAATGACCCGACCCATGACTCGAAATTGACACAAAAATATCTTGAAATCCGAAATTGACCCGACCCAAAAATGGAGTTGACACGATCCTAACCCGAACCGAAGTTGACCCGATGTGTTTGACCCGAACAAACCTGATATCCAAAATTGACCCGATACCCGAAATAGCCCGAACTTAAATTACCTTATAATTGTAATAAAAATGTCTGGTGCCAAAAATAACTCAAATTGTTCATCTTAGCTTCAACCATAGCCAAGCTCATAAACTGATTGATGATTCTTATTATAACATTAACAAATATAAAATTATTGATTTAAGCTTGATCTACAAATGGAATAACCCGAACATGACCCGACCAAATTTTGACCCGACCTGAATTGAACCGAACATACTTGACTCGAAAATGGTTTGACCCGAACGTACCCGACCCGAACTTGACCCGATACCTGACCCGTGTCATACCCGAAACCCAAATGACCCAACCCAACCTCTATCCAAATGTTAACAGGCCCGAAATGACCCAACTCGATATTGACCCAACCCATACCCGTCCCAAACGACCCATTTGCCAGGTCTAGTTGTACATACGGACAAACGATGTCAATTGTGGTACTTAAATGGATAATATTCGGACAAACGATGTCAATTATGGTGCTTCAATTCAAAGTGAATTGTTAACATGTGATGACAATATAAAATTCAAAATGGGAATACTATAGACTAAGGAAATGACCTCCATTAGTGGGCTATAAGTTGGTAACATGGAGTAGCACAAACTAACTGCCAAGTATAGTAGTGAAGCAGAAAGCAGTGTTCAACAATAAAAACCGTTCCGAAATTCTTTGTCCTTTGATTTTAGGTAAATTATCTGCTTTTAAGATTAATATACTAGAACTAGTATATTTGCTACCTTTGTTCTTTCTTTTAAACTTTTAACAATGCAAAAACAAAGCTCTCAATATTTATTAAGTGAACGAATCAAGCAAATTGGGACAAGGTAATAGAATAATAAAGGATACAATATTAATACTCATGTATTAAAGTGTTACATAGCACTTTGATTTTCCTTAAGATAAGTGCCATAAAATGCCAAATTGGAAGTTGTTCCTTTGGAGACTTTTTCATGATGGTATTGTAGTAAAAGATAATCTGGCTAGAAGGGGAATACAAGTGGACGCAATCTGTGATCATTGTGGGGTAGGCTTGGAAGACAGCCAACACCTCTTCAGGTTCTGTATTCTGGCAAAGGAAGTTTGGGAGAATGGCTCCCTAACTATTTGCCCTGACTTTCCTGGGTTCAACTCATTGAAAAGATGGATCCAGCACTATATCCTGCTGTTTAATAGCGAGGATGGTAAGCATAGCAATCGTTGCACCGTGTTTATTGCAACACTGTGGGGGCTTTGGAAATCTAGGAATGCTAGATGTTTCAAGGGTTCTACAGAGACGATAAGTTCAGTAAGGGAATTTATTAATCTTGCCATGAATGATCATGAAATTTTTAATCTTCAAGCAAGTCCAACACCGGAATTGGAGGTTTCTGACCGGGAAAATCCGACTTTTCCTCTGGGGCTTTATCACGTGCACTTGGGAAAGGATAAAAGTGGTTATGATGATTTCATTATGGAAGCCGATGGCTCCTGGGATAAGAAGACAAGGAGGGCAGGGATAGGTTGGGCAGTTAAGAGTATTCAACAGGGCAATGCAATGGACGAGGGTGGAAAGCATGGAGTGGCTGCTTCAGCCATTCAATGTGAGGCTTGGGCTTGCCTAGAGGCAATGAAATGGGCCCGAGCGAAAGGTAAACAAGGAATTCTTGTTTTATCTGACTCGATTGGTCTTTTGACCAACTTACAAGGGAATCATGGTAATGATATTTCGATATCTTGGTTACTTAAGGAGTTAAGAGTATTGGGGGCATCATTTCAAAGGTGCACGATTTTGAAGGTACAGCGTGATCAAGTCCAAAAGGCGAACGACATTGCTAGAAAATGTCGGACTAACCTTTTGAATTTGTTGTAGGTTTTTGTTTTAGTTTCCTTTGCTATTGTCAAAAAAAAAAAGCCAAATTATATTAAACTACTTCACATACACCGCCTCCCCTTAAGATAAACAAAGTACCCTCTAGAGCCTTTATATAGGTAATAAATTTAATCAAATACTCCGTAGTAAATAACAGTGTTATGTCCCACAACTTAATACCCACTGGAGATACTTTAAGAATGAAACCGCCTTAACATTAGCTTCCTCTCATTACCGGTCTTTCCTGCTATGCTAAAGTTCAAAGATTTATATTGTTTAAAAAAAACTATCCATCAAAATTCTGAATTCGTCTTATATAGGCTAAAAGTCATGTTTTATTTTATTTTATTTTATTTTATTTTTTTACAGCGAACCTTAAAAGCAAGTGATGTAAACGAAATTTGATCTCAGATCTTTAGCATCACCCTTCGAAACTTTAACCAACTAATTTAGTTGATCATCCGCTAAAAGTCATGCTCTTAGTCTTTTAATTTATTGTTCTAAGTGTAAGGAAGTATTCTAGAAGGTACTCCCTCCGCCCCTTTTTATAGTTTCCATTTGGAATTTTGACACTATTCATAACTGTGAGAGAATCCTCTAAATTACTCTTAAATATATAAGACATAACATAGTCTTGTTGCGTCTTATATGATTCGTCTCAATGAATAGATTATTAATATTCAATTGTTATATTTTTTTTACTAATAAACAACTAACGATATTTATGGTCAAAGTGTTGCATTGACAAACGTACACGGTCCAAATGGGAACTATAACAAGGGGCGGAGGGAGTATTACATATATTCTACACCTTGATTTACATGTTTGGACAACTAAAGGATGTTTCATCATACACAAACAAGAACTACTTAAAAATTTGCTTAAATTTGATGTTTAGACATTTTACCTAATATTCTAAATTGAAATTATCATTAATGAATTGCAATAATTTTACGGAACTTAAATTATTTTGTCGAAGTTAAGTTCTTTTTATTTACTTTCTATTATATTTGTTCTACTATCTCCGTCCCTTAATCACAAGTCCGTTTCTCAAAAACCACGAGAATTAAGGAGGATGAAATAGTTGAAGAATATTACATAGGAAAGATAAAAAATAGAGAATATTATATGAGAATAATTAAAAGTAGTTAATATTATATGGGAAATAGAAAAAGTAAGTAGTGATTATGTGATAATTTTAAAGATATGCACGACATTTTGGGACATCCAGAAAGGAATACAAGCTTGTAATTAAGGGACGGAGGGAGTAATAATTACTGATTTTACGGATTAAAAACTTATTTTTGTTGAACGTTAATTTTTTTTTTTTTAATTGATTACAATGGTTGTTTTTTTTTTCCCCTAACGAAGGCTAAACTAAGATTACAAATTGCACTAATAAAACAACACAGTACAGAGTTGATATTGCTCCTTTAGAAGGCAATAAAGTTAAATTACAAATGACTTTTGATATGATGTATTTCAAATCTTTATGAGTTCAAGTTCTAAATTAAGTTTGTTGATCTAAAACTATTTGTATATAATCTTGAAATTAATCATAATATTTTGAAAAAAAAAGGTGAATATATTTTTTTTACTTTATTTTCTTTTCTATACAGACCATGTTTTATTATACTTATAAATTAAATGTCTTTATTGGGTTTTGTTTAAAAAAAATGTCTTTATTGGGTTTAATTAATTATTCTTTTTTCTTTTTGAGGTTCAAGTTTTTTTTATTTTTTATTTTTTATTTTTTGGGATTTTGATTTTACCCATATGTTCTTTAAAAATTCATGTTCTATTTTTTTATATATATCCACTAGATTTTAACCCCGTGCGATGAAAAATTATTTTCATATATCCTTTTGTATATTTCTCGTGATCTCTTAATCTCTAACAATTTTTTTTTGTTATTTAATTTTTTGGACATAAATTTTAAGGAAAGTAAAATTTTTATTTTAAAGTTTTAAATTTTTTTTATGAAAATAAAATTTCATTCCTCAAAAATTTAGATAAGACAATTAATATTAAAAGAAAACTTTTATTTATTTTAAAAAATAATTTAATCCCTAATATCAAAATATGATTTTAGTTTTTTAAAATAATTTAAATCCTAATATCAAATACGACTTTTAGTTTTTTAAATTATTTAAATCCTAATATTTAAAGATAACTTGTTGGTTTTTTTTTATTATTTATTTTTTATTATTTTTTTAATAATTTAGGAAGATAACTTTAAGTTCTTAAAAAAAATTAAAAAAAAATAATTAGTTTTCCTTAATAATTAAAATCTTAATAAATCACTATTCGTTTTTTTTACGCAGCAAAATTCTTAAATCTCATTTGTTACTTTTGAATATCTAAATTAATTTTTTGTTTGTTTTTTTTGTTTGTTTTTTTTTTGAGGAATATAACTTTTAGTTCTTAAAAAATTTAAAACATAATTTTTAGTTTTCTTAAATAATTTAAATCCTAAATCATTATTCATTGTTTTTACCCACATGGTAAAATTTTTAAATCTCATTTGTTATTTTTGCTTTTGTGGCAAGTAAATTTTTTTATTCTAAAATAAAATACAATTCTAATTCTAATTGATCGTAATAATACCTTTGCTAATGTTGCGTGTCGAATGCTCCCTAAAAATGCCTACTTTATTTACTACCTTTCTTTTATACTTTTTGCAACTTTGGAATATTTTATATCTTACAAATAATACCACAAAGTTGCAAAAAATATGAAATGGAGTAAGTATATAGCTAGTAGTGCCCCGGACATTTTCCCAAATACCCGTTTTAAAGAGTGTACTTATTTGTGTGCATGTTTTGTATTATTAGTATAATTATAATAATAACAATAATAATTATTATTTTTAACATTTAAATTTTTTTACCAAAAAAGTTAGACACAAAAAGAGAGTAGAAACACTACATACTATACTTTTTTCACGTTTTTTATTATTTTTTGTTTTTGTAAGTTGCACTATATTCACTTGGTTTACTACGACCAATGTTTGTGAATTATACATTAAAAACAAATATATAATTAAGATATTGTTTATCAAATTTCTATATTGACATATGGGCTAAATTTCAATGGGACACTAAAATTATAGAGGGAGTATAATTTTGTAAAAAGAAGAGTGCGTCGGTAAAAAAATAATAAAATAAAGAAAAAGTTACAAGTAATTTTTTTTAACACGTAAAATCAACAGATTATATTATTGGCGTAATTGGATCATTTGTAATATATGGCTGGTAAATGGGCTACGGAGGCTTTGAAAAACCCGTAAAGTTCTAAGGCCTTGCTAACATTGATCTGAATTCACTTCAAAATTCCCTTGTATTGTACAGTTTTTGTTGTGTTCAAATTTTAGTAGTTTTTACTTCTTTAATTTCATTAATAAAATCACAAACATATACAAAAGTAATACAACCAAATATGAAGAATGCCTTATTGAAAAGTTTTAATGGTAAATCACTAGTAGACTAAAAAAATTTAATAATACATGGCCATATTTATAATTATAATTACGTGGTTATTCCTATAGGAGTAAAATTCTATTGTTAATTAGATATTCATATTGTGGTGTGTTGCTATAAGTAAAATTCTATTGTCAATAAAAAGATAATTTGTTTTTCAAAAGAATTATAAATTATTTTATGTATACTTTTTTTATCCTAAACAAATTTATCCAATCTAATCTAATGTGACATCTAATCTAATTACAATAATATTTATTTGTCACCTACGTGGCTCGACACTTGGCAAAAAACTAGAATGCCAAGTGTCACTGTCTCGTGGCCTGACTGCGAGCACGAGACCCACTTTATTTATTAGTGATTTGATATATTAGATTATTATAAAGCTTGATTTTTATTTATGTGTTTTTTTTTTAATTTAGTTTTTATGTTCGGTATACATGTGCGCATTGTCCACTCAAGTGCACAAACCAATAATTATTACAACTTGCTAATAATTATTATTGACTTATATTTACTCAACCAACATAAGGTTCTGCTCACTTCACCTTATTTTTGCTGAACTGAAATTATTTTTATTGAATTGAGATTATTTTTGTTCGTTGAACTTAAATTATTTTTACTGTACAGAAATTAAATTTTCTGAACTGAAATTATTTTTGCTGAAATGAAATTATTTTTAATGATACATTATTATATTTCCTTTAAAGTTACTAAATTTAATTGAATTGAAATATTTTTTTACTGATTCATTATTATAATTCTTCTTTAAAGTTATTGATTTTTACTGAATTGTAATTATTTTTACTGAACTAAAATTATTTTTACTGAACTAAAATTATTTTTAATGAACTGAAATTATATTTACTGAATATTATTTATTTAAGGTGAAGTAAACAGACCTAATTTCTAAACTTTCTAACATTAATACTGAAAGGAATGGTATCCTTCCAAGTGTATTATTCCGATAGAGGGTTCAGAATTATCGGATAGCTAATTCTTCAGTAAGGTCAAGTGATCGGAATGTCTATGTGGAGGCCGCTTCCGATCAGTAATATTAATGTACAATTAATATTACAGCTTAATCTTGACTGAACCCTTCGGGTCGAACCCAATCGAACAACCGATCTGAGACGACGAATCAATCCGAAGGACTTGTTGAGTCGTCGGAGTTTTACGAACAAAGATGTCGGATATCGAGCTTAGAGCGTCAAGATCGAACGTCGCAAGTCGAGTTGAATTTAGAATTCGACGAGACGCGATATCAATCAAGTTACAAGTACGAGCCTAGCCGTAGCCTTGCATTGGCCTAGCCATATGAATGCTAGGCTAGGCAAGATCCATCGTAAGCCTGGCATGCTAGGCGTGCTAGGCCCTTGTGTGTATGCTAGCAGGCCATGTGCCCAAGCATCGCAAGGCTAGGCCTTGCTAGCATGCTAGGCGCTAGCTCTATGCAAGGCCTAGCACTTCTCGTCGCACCATCGCAGCAGCGTGCGTGTGCGTGTGCATCGCTAGCACATCACCAAGCAACAGAAGTAGCGTGCGTGTGCGTGTGCATCGCTAGCACAACACCAAGCAGCAGCAGCGTGCGTGTGCGCGTGCATCGCTAGCACATCACCAAGCAGCAGTAGCGTGCGTGTGCGTGTGCATCGCTAGCACAGCACCAAGCAGCAGCAGCGTGCGTGCGTGTGCATTGCTAGCACATCACCAAGCAGCAGCAGCGTGCGTGCGTGTGCATTGCTAGCACATCACCAAGCAGCAGCAGCGTGCGTGTGCGTGTGCATCGCTAGCACATCACCAAGCAGCAGCAGCGTGCGTGTGCGTGTGCGTGTGCATCGCTAGCACAGCACCAAGCAGCAGCAGCGTGCGTGTGCGTGTGCATCGCTAGCACAGCACCAAGCAGCAGCAGCGTGCGTGTGCATCGCTAGCACAACACCAAGCAGCAGCAGCGTGCGTGTGCGTGTACATCGCTAGCACAGAACCAAGCAGCAACAGCGTGCGTGTGCGTGTGCATCGCTAGTACAGCACCAAGCAGCAGCATCGTGCGTGTGCGTGTGCATCGCTAGCACAGCACCAAGCAGCATCAGCGTGCGTGTGCGTGTGCATCTTTAGCACAACACCAAGCATCGCAGCATGCATGGGCGTGTGCATCGCTAGCACAGCACCAAGCAGCAGCATGTATGTGCGTATGCCTAGCATTGTAGCGCCCAGCATGCGTGGCTCGCTAGCAGCACGCATGCTGGCTGTGCGTGGGGTGCTTGCTAGCTGGCTACGCTATGTGCGTGTGGGGTGCTAGCTGTGCTGGTTGGCTGCCCAGCCTTGGTGCTAGGCGCCAGCTGGCAGCCTTGGCAGCCAAGGCAGGCTGCCAGCCAGCCACATGGGGATGCCGGTTTTGACCAAGTGGGGACCAAGGGTTGTGAGGATTGCCTCTGGGGACCAAGGCTATGGTCCCCCCCTTTTGAAATGGTCCTTACCTAATCTCTCTTCCTCCTTGTGCCACTTTTAACTTAGTGATTGCTTTGCAATTTTAATTTTGTTTTAATTAAAATAAAATGGGAAAATTGCAAATCTCCCACATTGATCAAGAGTGGGAATTCAAGGTTCATTTCCCTATAAATACCAAGGTTTTTGGATTTGGGAAGAACACTTGAGTGGAACTAAAAAGGCATCTCCTTAAGAAAAGTGAGAAAACCTTAAGTTCGTAAAACTCTAGTTTTTATTGGTCGGGTCCCGACTAACCTTCGGGACTTGGATCGTTCGGGTCGGGTTCGTGGGTACGAGCCGTCGGAGACCTTGCATTTCTGGGGTTCAAGTAAGAGCTCGGGATTCGAGCGAAGCATGCAACAAGGGTAAGGATGTCTTTTCTTTCTCTCTCTTAATTGTTGTTTAATTAGTGATTGCATGCTTAGTCGCTTTAATTAGTGTACGGGTCTTGGGTGTGTTTCTCTTCCGCGTAGAATCGGACTCTACAAAACCCAACAAATACATGTACAAAAGTTAACTTTTTAACACGCGATCGAGAACTTCTAAGTAGTAATTCAATATAATTACCTTTTTTTTAATTATTATTATTATGCAAAGATTGACTTTAGCTTGTTAGAGTTTGTATATATTTAGACTATACTTACCATTTTGTTATTTTTTTATTTTCTTAAAATTTCCATGTTGTTAAATTGAACAAAAGGGTGATGGCTATTACCCAATTAGTCAATTACATACCTTAACGGATAAAATGATTGACATAAATGAAGTCATGAACTTCTCTTTTGCCAATCAATGCTTTCCTATACCTTTGTGTAGTTAATTAAACTTAATTATTATCAAAGTTTGACACAGCGATGTATCTGTTAGTGAAGTTACTTTTAGTTACTTAATCACTCGTGGGTAAAAAAAATTCCACGTAAAGATCGATTGATGGATTTGGTTTCCAAGTGAAATGGAGTCATCATGATTCATGAACCATTTTACTTTATAGCCACTATGATTGTCCTTTTGATGGATTGATAATTCTGTACAACCTAAATTTTTCCATCTCTATAGCTGCTGGCAGTGGCGGATCCAGGATTTTATGGGGGCTAGGTCATCATCACCCATTAACCGCATACCCATCGATCCAAGAGGTGAATTTTAATTTGTGGAGGATGATTTTGTGATGGAGGAGGATGAGTTTTGGACTATAAAAACTTGTCGTTACATCACACTTTTTTTTTTTCCTTTTCATGCTGAAAAGTAATTCACAATTTCAATAATAGTTATTGATATTAATTAATTGATATTGCTCATATAATGAATTTAGGTTACTGTTATGGATCGCACTAAATAGCTAGGATTAAATAATTAAAGTAATGACAGTTTTGTAAATAAGTGTTTTTGTTTTTAAAAGGGGATATAAATACCCCAAAAATTCAAGGATTTGACACTCAAAAATCAATTGTCAGATTTTACAAAACCCCAAGCCTTTTCTCTTATTTTTCTCTTTCTCCTTTTTCCACTTTTTCTCCTCTCTTTCCCACGCCTCTCTCTCTTCCTCTCCACAAATCACCAGCGCCACCACCGACCACCGGCAACCAGCAACAACACCGGAAGCCCAGCCATGCCCTCCTTCTCTCCTTCTCTCTCCTTCGGTTCGGTATTATAAAAAAAAATAAACTCTTTCTCCAATTTTAATTTCTAAGCTTGTTTTAATTTTTTTTTGAAATAAATAAATTCATTAATCAAAAGCCATACGACATCTACAAATGAAATCTAAATCAACAAATACATATAATTGAATCAAATAAGGGTTTCCTTCATCGAAGCTACGATCGTTGAATAAATCTTGCACTATGGTACATCTCTCACGCATATCGCTGAAATATACAGTCTTTTCGGAGAAACGGTCTAACAATTTGTTGTAGTCGTAAGGATGATTTTCATTAGATTCACTTTAATTCTTTCGAAGATTTAACAACCGTTGCGTTCCCGGACAACTCTTTACCAATGAACTGATAATAAGGCAAAAGATGATTACCTTTTTAATAAACCCTGACACACAAAAAAAAAACCCCAAACAAAAATAAATAACTAAACCAACAAATATTAACGACTCCAACATAGGAAGACACTCCACCATTTGGAGACGGATGAACATCTACACTACTCGTGTAGATTTATTGAAATCTAAATTGCATAACTAAAGAAAATAAGGGGAAAAGTATCAAAAATAGTCTAATTACCAAAGAAATTATACTATTTTCGACCTGAACAACCAAAAAATTTAGAAAACCTTAGAAGAGAGGAGGAGAGAGAAGGAGAAAGAATAAATCTTGATTGCAAAAGTTTTACGTTTTTGGCTTGTTTTAATTAATTCAAAGCATGATTTTAATTATATTTTGATAATGTTGTTTTTAGGTAGTTTTTTTTACAAAAAAGACGAAACTTATATTACATAAGGATGATTAAAGGGGAAACCATGAAGCTAAAACGGGAAACCATGAAGCTATGGAGAGAAAATTAGCAATCATGATACCCAAGGTGCACCAAACAAAACCGAGAAAGCAAAAGAAAGTCTGGAAGAGCAAGTGAGCTAAAAACAGGAATAAAAACTAAACATAAAAAACTAAAATAGTAGCAGCAACATCAGCATTAACATTAACATTAGTCTTCGAAAGAGTGGGGCTTAGGAGAAGTCCATGGGCAGCAGCTGAAAACCGGTCAGGGAGCATCAGTTAGGCCTAGAGTGTAGGCCAATTCTTCCATGTAAACTTTGGTGAGAGTAGTGGGGGAGAAAAACTAATAGGCAACATCATCATTAGGCTGGTGTCTTCCCATTTCAACAAGTTTGTGAGCAATTATGTTTGCTTGGCATTCGACATGGAGGATAGTGACACTCCACTCCTTTTGAAGAAGCTTAACAATGTCATTGATAAGGTTAGAGAGCTCATGATCTATGTAGTAAAGCAGGTTCTCATATATATAAGGGCCTGTGCATTAGTTTCAAGTTTAAGGAATCTGATTCCTCTTGCCCAGCTAGTGATCAGTCCTTCTTTGATTGCATAAAGTTCAGTTGAAGCAGGTCCCAAAGCATTAATCTAGACAGAAAAACCAATTTGCCATTTCCCTTTTTCGCAAAGAATGATCCCACCGGCACCAGCTTCACCCAAACTTAACCAAGAAGCATCGGTATTCAGTTTATGGTATCCTCTTTGGGGGGAGACCAAGCTCTTGGTGAGCTCTTGGAAGTAGAAGCAACCATAGTAGATGAAGCCTGAGAAACAGACAAAGTAATACCATAATCTGATTGGAATTTTTGAAAGCAGTTTAGAATGGAATCCATTTTTTGTTCAAAAACCATTTTGTTTCTTATGGACCATAGGTGCCAAAGAGTTATGCAAAATAAGATCTTCCAAGATTTATCAAGATTTAGATTGAAAGAAATCCGGTTTTCAAAAGAGGTGTTGTAAAATTCAGAGTAGTTAAAATCAGCAGTAGCAAAGTGTTCAAAAATAAGGGCCCAAAAAGCAAAGGAGTTTGGGCAATCTCTAAAAAGGTGAGTGAAATCTTCATTGGAAGAGTTACATCTAATGCAAATAGGGTCAAAATGGGGGATTTTTGTAGTAAGGACAGAACCTATGGGAAGGATCATCCTAATAATATTCCATAAAAGCATTTTATATTTAATGTGGATTCTAACCCCTTGTTTAGTCAAGTTTATAGAAAACCCACAATCTTGAAAGAAAGATCCAACCTTGAAAGAAATATTTAAGATTGAATATAAACGAACCGATATTTCTCCTCACAAAATCACTCCTGAAACTTATGATTCGAATTCCCAAATTAATTAACCCACATCTGGACGCTAATTATTTTGAGATTAAAATCTTAGACTACTCCTAGACACTAAGTGTTTAATGTTCTAATCTTCAACCAACTCATTGAATTGAAAACTAGCAAGAACCGTTTAAGCAAAAGCTAAACAATGAACTTTTATTCAACTGAATTTTTGTGTATCTGTTATCTTTATTACAAAGCCACGAAAATCCCCTATTTATAGACTAAAAATTAACTAATTCTAAGCCTAATAGAACTAGGACAAGCCCCTAGCCTTTAGCTCCAAGTAACCTAAATAGAATAGGAAAACTAGTTCTACTTAGATTAGGAAACTAGTAGTAAGACTAGTTTAACTTAATCTATAGTTCCTAAAACAAATCCTAAACAACTAAGGAAACTTATTAAGCTAAACTAACAAAACTAAAAGGAATCCTAAGTGCTTAAACCAAGAAAAACCCTTTCAAGTGAAAGGTAAAAACTTGTAAGCAAAACTCTAAGAAAAAAAACTAAGTATGATAAGTCATCCATTTCATCTCGTCAACTTCCAAGCATCTCACGCGCCGACCCATGGTGTTGCCAAGTTCAAGGTGGTTCGAAGGACATGGCGTGTGGCCCTTGGAGTGGCGCATGGTAGTGGCAATCTTCACCGGAAGTCGGATGTGTCATTTCATCTTCTTTGGAAATCATGCTTCTTTCTTTCCAATTTAAGCTATTGATCCTTTCTTTGTTTTTTTACTTGTTTGGGCAGCCTATATTGGAGTTATTAGGACCTTCTAAAAGTGTATTAGATCCTTCAAAAGAATTAGCCTCTTGATTCACATTAATATTTAAAGGGGACCTTAATCTTCCACATTGAAGACCAAGAGAAGTTAGCAAGGAAGGAGTTAGGATAGGAAAGGGGAGGCAAGGAAGATAAATAAGCTGATTTTATAGTGAAAGAGCCATTTTTGTGGAGAGACCATCGAAGTTTTTCCTTAGAAGAATGGAGGGAGGGAATAGGGGTAGCTTTGATTTTGAGGAGAATTTCATTAGGTAGAAGGTGGGCAATAGGACTAAGAAACCATTTGTGATCACGAATAATATTAGAGACTCTCCAATGCCCCTTGCTATCGGGAATATGGATGTTATCACAAAGATAGAGGGGAGAGTCACTTATCCATTTTTGGTACCAAAGGGAGGTATCCTCTCCATTTCCAATGGTGATAGTTAATCCTGGTTTTAGAATGTCTCTCCCTTTAAGGATATCTTTCCAAATGGTGGAGTAGTTATTGTTAAAGATGCAATCTCAAAAGTTAGTGTATTTAAGGTATCTTTTAGAGAGGATTTGAACCCATAATTTATCAGGTTGGGTAAGAATCTTCCACCCTAGTTTAGCCATGAAACAAAGATTCCAAACTTTGAGATTCCTAATTCCTAAGCGCCCCCCCCCCCCCCACCAATTTATGGGATCACACACAATAGACCAAATAGTTCTAGGGATATATCTAGTGTTGTCCACACGGTTCCAAAGGAACTTTTTGATATTTTTTTAGAGTTGATTAGTGAGAGAGATGGGTAAGACATTGGTTTGCATAACGTACATAGGAAAGGAACTGAAAACTGAATTAATAAGAGTGGTTCGACCAGCCATATTTAGGAGTTTGCTTTGCCAACCCCTAATCCTAGAGTTAGTCTTATCAAAAAGGTCATAATAATCTCCAATTTTTATCTTGTTAGGGCTAATCATAATTCCTAGGTATTTACCAAAGAAGGTGGAGCTTTTGATATTACAAAAGTCAAAAATAGATTTTCTTATGTTGAAATCCATCTTTTTTGGGAAAATGATTGAGGATTTCTGGATATTAATGGATAAACCAGAATTCTTTTTAAAATCCTCAAGTACATTCATCATGACAGATATGTTATCAAGGTTATCTCTTCCAAAAAGGAATATGTCATCGGCATAGAAGAGGTGGGAAAGGTTAATGTCTTTAGCTATTTTCATAGGTATCCAAGTTTTATTATTAACTCTTTCTTGAATCATGCAAGAAAGACAGTCAAGACATAAGACAAAGATATAAAGGGAAAGGGGGCAGCCTTGACGAATTCCTCTCGAAGGGTTAAAAACTTTGGTGATTTGGCCTTTCCAAAGGACCGAGATGGAAGGGGTGCAAATACAACTTAAGATAAGGTTTATCAAGTTATTAGTGAGGTTAATGGCCTTAAGGGTATCTTCGATAAAACTCCATTCAATACTATCTAAAGCTTTGGCTAAGTCAATTTTGAGAGCCATAATGTTAGCTTTTTTGGAAGATTTATTGAAAAAATGAGCAACCTCTTTTATAATTATGATATTTTCTTCGATACAACGATTAGGAATAAAGCTTGATTGGAAAGGACTAATTAAATAGTTCATAAAAGGTTTTAACCTAGACGCAATGCACTTAGTAACAAGCTTATAAATGGTGTTACAAAGTCCTATTGGTCGAAAGTCAGCCATAGTGGTAGGATTTTCTTTCTTAGGTATAAGGCACATATAGGTGTCATTAATAGAATTATTTATGCAACCATTAGTAAAGCAGGAACTAAAAAAATTACATATGCTAGGACCTAATACATCCTTATTTTTTTGGGAAAAAACTGCTTGAATACCATCAGGTCCAGGGGAGTTAATAGAGTTCATGGCCATAAGATTTCAATTAATCTCATCAAGGAAGGGGCATTACCAAGAGAAGCAGCTAGGTTATCATCAATAAATTTAGGGTAAGAAAATTTGGCTAAAAGCTAAAGGTCAGGTTGTTTCAAAGTAGAAGAAAAAATATTAACAAAAAAATTTCTGACCATATCTCTTAAGACAACATGATCATAAATCTAATCTTCCCTATCATCATTATTATTCTTAAGGAAAATAATTCTACCTCGAGATTTTTTAATTTTAGCGGAGATATGAAAGAATTTCGTATTACAATCTGCATTTTTACGCCAATCAATTCTAGCTTTTTAGGCCCAAGTAATGCGTTCAGCATTATAAATCAAATTTAACTGGTGTATTAAGTCTTTTTCAAGATAAAACAGAAAATTAGAATAACGTTTTCAAAGGCTACGTTGGATTCCATCAATTCTTTTAATTAAATTCTATTTAATTCTAGTAAGATTACCAAAAACATTGTGGTTCCAATCCTTAATGGTGCGAAGGAACTTATCCCTTCCTTCAATAAAATCAAAAATTTAACGTACCAATTATGAGAAAGTAGGGCTTAAAAGAATTATGTTCAAGCCACGCAGCCTTACATCTAAATGGGTAGTTACCAGACATATTTTATTAAATAAAGTAATAAGAAGAGGGTTATGATCAGAAAAGGTTCTAGGCAAGTGAATTACCTGAGTGTTCGGGAAAGTATTATGCCAACTCGGGTTTGTCATAGCACGATCTAGCCTCTCCCTAATGATAGCAGCGCCTTCACGAGCATTGTGCCAAGTAAAAGGGTTGTCGTTGAAGCCAAGATCAACAAGGCACGCGACATTAGCAAGCATGTTAAGGTCTCGGCATTGAGACATTCTGAAATTTCTTCCCCCCATTTTTTCGGAGGGGGAAGTAACTTCATTAAGGTCACCAAGCAACATCCATGGAGTATCATCCGGCAGCAAAGAATTTTTAAGATCATTCCAAAGCTTATGACGATTAGCAGGATTAGAGGGAGCGTGGATGCCAGTAATCAACACTTTAGTGTTATTGGGCTTGAATTTAAAAAGAGCATGGAAGTAGTTGATGGTTTTGGAATTGTAAAGAATTAACTCAACTCCGTAGTTGTACATTAGCCATATTCCACCGATAAAGCGAAGACCATCAAAGCCAAGGAGCTTACTAACTTGAAGGGCACTAAACCCCATTGCTTTAAGATTCTAAAATAATAAAGATAAAAGGCTTGTGAGTAGCAATTCTATCCCAAGTGATTAGGATAAAAATACCCCTAAGACACGTGGCCCTATAAAGGCTTGCCATGTGTCAGGCTTGCCACGGTCAGCAAAGGCCCAATCCCTTTGCGACACGTGTCATTGTACCCTAATTGAGGTACAGCTCTCCCCTACTATAAATAGTAAGGGCAGACCTCATTTATGGGGATCGACAACAAATTCCAGCAATCAACCAAACACAAAACCCATTGCAAACGCTCTCCAATCGAGAAGCATTTATTGTTCTTATTTCCTCTTCAGAAAGATTCTAACTTAATCTTCGGAGGCGGAACTCCCACCCCCCAGCCGGAGTCTTCGTTATTTGTGCAGGTACAGGCGAAGGAAAGAGCATACTAGGAAATTGTAACTCTCTCGTAGGACATATGAAAAACCCCCAAACATCTGGCGCCGTCTGTGGGGAGGGTACTTTCTAGATGACTTCAGAACCTGTACTACCGGGTAAAGATAATCAACTTGCTGTTGAGGATGAGGTCCATTCGGATAAAGATACAGCCAACAATTATGAGGTGGAAGCTTACACAGCTGCCGATGGTTCTTTTAGAACCAAGCATACTCGTTCCAAAGAAAAAAGGGAACGGGCAGAGCAGCAAAGCCATCCCATCAGGGGACCGCTTGTGTTAACTCCTGCTTCAGAAGGAGCCACCCCAGTCTCTAAGGATGAACTCATGAGTATGATGATGAGTTTTAAAGGGGAAATCAAAGGCCTTTTGGATAACTCAGCCGGCCCCCATAAGGGTCAGGCGGAAGAAAGGCGTCTTGGAAAAAAGACGGCCAAGACAGTGAAAGGCAGAGCGTCTACCCCACACCCGAAGTCAAAGGTGCCGGTTAGGCCCATTGATTTCTCAAAAATTCACACTCCCATGGAGGGAGCCAGAAAACCTGTCCGGCACATACAGCCGGATGGAACGAAGAAAGTCTATTCTGATGCACGGACGCTCATCCAGGATAAAAAGACTCAGCAGCACTTCGAGTCGGCATCAACGTCGACCTTTCGAGACAGCTTCCATGTCACATCAGGGAGGCACTCGAGAACAAACAATGACAGCCGGACGAGCGAGGTTTCCGCTCGATTCGGCCCTCATATCATCCAACCGGCATTACATGGGACACCATACACGCCTTTTGGATCTCCTTATTCTCAGCCGGGTCTTTTCAGGGGGCAGCAGCAGCCGCCTGTCCAGCCTATGGACTGGCAGCTCCGGCTGCTCAACCTTGGGGAACAGCCAACGGCGTTTTCCATGGAAATCACCGAGATGGCCCAGCCGTCAAAAATTAAAAACGTGTTGGTTGGTGCCTATGACGGTACCACCAACCCGCAAGATCACCTCATGGCATACACCAACCTGATGTATTTGCAGGGTTTGGATGATGCCTCATGGTGTAGGTGCTTCCCGGCAACGTTGAAAGGGATTGCTCAACGTTGGTTTGGTAACTTACCTGCCGGATGCATCAATAACTTTAGAACATTGGCCTACTGGTTCACGTACAACTTCTCTATGAATATCCCTGCTAAGAAAACAAGCCTTGATCTGGGGGCAATACAGCAGGGAGATAAGGAAGGGCTCCGGTCATATGTCAGGCGGTTTAACCTGATGAGGATCCAAATCCAGGGGTTGTCTGATGAGGTTGCCTATACTGACTTCTTCAAAGGCCTAAAAGACGGGTCAACTTTTAAGTTTGACCTGGTTAGGAAGAGGGTCTCTACTCTTCACGAGGCATTAATGAAGGCGGAGGCTTACATCCAAGCAATGGAACTCTGCGCAATTAAACTTCCAACGGATTACAAAAGATCCGATAAAAGAGAGAGCCGGCCTACCCAGACGGCCAAAAGGGAAGAAAAGAAGCGGAAAGAGGTCTGGGCGGCAGAGCCACCCGGACAACAATTCCAAAAGAGAAAGAGGTCGGATCCGTATGTCCCAAAGTACGAATTCACCAAGGATTGCGCATCCATTCTCAAGGAAGTTAAAAACCGGTTGAATCTTGAAAAACCGGCACCAATGAAGAGTCCCGTGAGCAGCCAGGATAAGAGCAAATACTGCCTTTTCCATGAAAAAATAGGCCATGATACTGAGGGGTGTTTTAGCCTCAGGCGGCTCTTTGACCATCTTGCTGATGAGGGGGCTCTAAAATCCTATCTATCCAAATCAAAAGGTGCTCCCAACCAAGCCAAAGGGTCACCTCCAAAGACACCGGCAAATCAATCTGATACGGATGAGGACACCATCCTAACCATAGCCGGCGGATTTGCGGGCGGTGGGCCTACCATCCGGGGCACTAAGGATAACATTAGGAAGCTGGTCAACTCAGTGGATGAGGGCCATTCATCTAAAAATTCATTCCCGGAGGTCCATATCTCCGAAAGGATAGAGGAGAGGTCAGGCGGCCCCATGATGACCCAATAGTCATCAAATGTAAAATCGCCAATCAACGAGTTGGCCGGATCTTAATTGATACCGGGAGCTCATCTGACCTCATAAGCTACCGGTGTTTGGAAAAACTCAAGTATAAGCCAAGTAGCATGCATCCGGCCCCATATCCTCTTGTTGGTTTTGGGGGAGGAGTAGTACATCCGGTGGGCATGGTTGACCTACCCATCCGGTTTGGAGAGAAGGGGGAGGCCCGGCACATGGTTGTCAAGTTTCTTGTTGTAGGGGAACTGACGGCCTACAACCTGATCGTTGCCGCCCAACCCTTAACATTTCAAAGGCTGTGATCATCCCGTCTCTAATGTTGATTAAATTTGAGAGGGATGATGGCACAGTCGGCTCCTTGAGTGGGAACCAAAAGACGGCGAGAGAGTGTTACCTCTCGGACGTCAAACCCACATTGGTCACAGACGGTCAAGACAAGGAAGTAGTTGAACTTGACGAGTGTGATCAAGAGTTACCGGCTACTAAGGCAGCCGGTAAAAAGAGAAAGGCGGACCAGCTACTGGCCCCCGTCAAAGAAAGACAATAGCAATCCACTGTCAGGGGAGAGGTCAGACAACCTCCGCCCCCAGCCGGCAGGGGAAATCATTGACATTATCCTGGAAGACAGCCGGCCAGACAGAACCGTCAAAGTTGGGACGGTTGCATTTGATAACTTGGGAATCGATCTGCTCCGATTGCTGAGAGATTCAAAGATGTGTTTTCCTTTGAAGTAGAAGAAATGCCGGGAGTGTGTCCGGATCTCACTGTTCATAAACTCGTCGTGGATCCTAAGAAGAAGCCGGTCAGGAAAAAGAAAAGGAACCATGGCGAGGAAAGGTCTCAGGCGGCAGCAGCCGAGGTCAAGAAACTTTTAGATGCCGAGTTCATTCGGCAATGCTTCTACCCGGATTGGGTAGCCAATGTTGTCCTTGTGAAAAAGCCGAATGGTACCTGGTGGATGTGTGTAGATTACACGGACTTAAACAATGCTTGTCCGAAAGATAGTTACCCGCTTCCAAAGATCGACCACCTGGTCAACTCTACAGCTGGTCATGCTCTGATGAGTTTTATGGATGCCTATTCCGGCTTCCATCAGATACCCTTGTGGAAGAAAGATCAAGAAAAGATGGATTTCGTCACAGATCAAGGGTTATACTGTTACACGGTGATGCCGTTTGGGTTGAAGAATGCGCCTGCTACCTTCCAAAGAAAGATAAACTCGGTCTTTTATGATCAGATTGGGAGAAATATTGAGGCATACATTGATGACATGATAGTCAAGTCCAAGTTGCAAGCGGATCATCTAGTTGACCTCCGAGAAACCTTCACCACCCTCAGGCGGCATAAAGTCATGCTTAACCCAAAAAAGTGCGTCTTTGGTGTTGAATCTGGGAAGTTTCTCGGATTTTTGATTGACCAGAGGGGCATAGAGGCCAATCCGGACAAAGTACAGGCGGTGATTGACATGCAGTCGCCTCGTACCATCAGGGAGGCTCAAAAGTTTACCGGTTGTCTGGCGGCATTGGGGAGATTCCTAAGCCGGTCAGGTGACAAGTGCCTCTACTTTTTTCAAGCAATCAAAAAGAGGTGAAGATTTGAATGGGGTGAAGAGGCTGAGGCGGCATTTTAGAGGCTTAAACAACACTTGCATTCTTTGCCAAGATTAGTGAGTCCCCTACCCCAGGAGGCTCTATATATGTACTTAGCCGTCTTAGATCATTCCTTAAGTGTCGTTCTCCTTGCTGAGAGAGACGGCAACCAGCTCCCGGTCTACTTCATAAGTCATGTCCTCCGGAATGCTGAACTTCGCTATCCCATGATTGAAAAATTTGGTTTGGCTTTGTACAAAGCAGTTAAACGGCTGAAACCTTATTTCTTGGCTCATCCGGTTACCATTTATACTGATCAGCCGCTCGAACGTCCTATGACCACTTTAGAGTCATCCGGAAGAATGATTAAGTGGGTCGTGAGATTCAAAGCCTGGAAATCACTTTCGAACCTAGGCGAGCAGTGAAGGGTCAGGTGTTTGCCGACTTCATTGTTGAAATGACAAGGCCGGCACAGCTGGATAATACTGATCAAGTTTGGAAAGTGTATGTAGACGGGAGCTCTACTGTGAACGGTTGTGGGGCAGGCGTAATTTGTCATTCCCCAGAGGGGGACAAATACGAGTATGCTCTACGATTCAAGTTTCGAGCTTCAAATAATGAAGCAGAGTACGAGGCCCTGCTAGCCGGTATCTGCATGTGTAAGGCAGCCGGGGCAAGGAAGGTGGACGCCTGCTCTGACTCTCAACTCATCGTTAGCCAATACCATGGTGATTATGAAGCCACCCATCCAGTCATGATTAAGTATCTTCAGGTGGTTAAGGAAGAAGCCGGGGCATTTGACGAATTTAATTTAAGTCAAGTACCCAAGTCTGAGAATAATCAGGCGGATGCATTATCTAAAATGGCGTCATCCGCCACTTGTGATACGCCTAGGTCAGTCTTCTAGGAAGTCATGGAAAAATAAAGCATTGAACATGATCCCATTTGAATTCTAGATCGAAGCTCTACCTGGATGGATCCCATCCGGGACTACTTGGTAGACGGCACTTTGCCGGGTGTCTCTTTAGAAGCGGCTGCTCTCAAGAGACGAGCATCAAGTTTTGTCATGCATAAGGGTGAACTCTTCCGAAAGGGTTACCTACAGCCGTTATTCAAGTGTGTAACCCCAGAAAGGGGAAAGGAAGTGCTAGAGGACCTTCATGTCGGCTTCTGTAGATCACACATAGGCGAAAAGACTCTTACAAAGAGAGCCAGGCGGCAAGGATACTTTTGGCCAACTCTTGAGGCAGATGCACTAAATCTGGTAAAGAGATGTGACAAATGCTAGAGGTTTGGCCAGCTAATCCATCAGCCGGCTACTGATCTAACGACCATCTACAGCCCTATTCCGTTTGCCAAATGGGGCATGGATATTTTGGGGCCGTACACACCTGCCCCAGGCGGCAGAAGATATATTTTAGTAGCCGTTGATTACTTCACAAAGTGGGTTGAGGCAGAAGCGGTAAAGGGCATCAAAACTAAGGATGTCATCTCCTTCATCTGGAAAAATGTCATCACCCGGTTCGGTGTTCCTATGTAAATGGTTTTAGATAATGGTCCACAGTTCAAAACGCCTGTCCTCAAAACTTGGTTGCAAGACCAAGGAATTTCACATTATTTTGCATCTGTAGGCCGTCCCCAAGCAAACGGTCAGGTAGAAGCTTTTAACAAGCTCATCTCAGGCGGAATCAAGAAAAAGATTGAAAAAGCAGGTGGTCTTTGGGCAGAGGAGTTGACTCATGTTCTTTGGTCTATCAGAACGACTGAGAAGAGGTCAACCGGTGAAACCCCATTTCTTATGGCCTACGGCACAGAGGCGGTGCTTCCCATTGAATTGTATGTACCAACACTTCGAATCATGCTATATGATGAAGACGCAAATTGGGAGGCCATGCATCTGGCTTTGGATTCTCTTCCTGAAAAAAGGGGCAATGCTGCCTTACGTCACAAAATCTACCGTTTGAGAATGACGAGAGCCTACAATAAAAGGGTGCGCAAAAGACCCCTTAAAGTAGGAGATTTTGTACTGTGTAAGCTTGAAGCAACCGGTAGGGCGAATGAGCAAGGGAAGTTAACTCCTAATTGAGAAGGACCCTACCATATTTTTGAAGAAGTTAGAAATGGCACTTACCGCCTGGAAACCCCAGACGGAATGCAGCTACCTTGCACCTGGAACGTAGATCACTTGAAAAAGTACTACTTCTAAGGAATTTATAATTTTTGAAAATAGTATTGAAATGTGAAAGTATATAATTTCCATTCATCCAAATTGTATTAGCACCTGTCTAGTGTAAAAACACAGACAGAAGAACACTTATTAAAAATCATTGCTCCAAAAAGAGCAGTCATCCGGCGACACCCATTCGGGTGAAATCGTCGAAGAGGACAGCTCCCTTCCGGGTGGTACATTGTCCTGGCCTGACACATCATTGTAAGTAACAAACAGCCGTTCGAAATGATCCATTGCATCTAGGATTCGGCCGGCATAGACCCAAAAGTGGTCCATGCGGCAAAAATCAAAATCCTAGTAAAAAACACCAACCGGTTTTTGCAGTAAAGCATTGCACACGGTTAAGTATTCCGGATAAACACATTTAAAAAGAATGATGTTACTCCAATTATTAAATCTCACGTTAAATTAATATGGGTTAGGACAACCGGGCCTTATCCAAAGGATACCCAGACGGTTATACCACCCATCCGGTTACCTATGAAACGGTTGCTTGTCTGCCATTGAAGTAAACAAACAACCATTTCAGGGGCATTTTTATCAAAGCAGCCGGTATATTGTAGATCAATAATCATTACCCATCCGGTTGCCTATGAACCGGTCGCCTATGAAATGGTTGCTTGTCTACTGCTGGAGTAAACAACCAACCATTTCAGGGGCATCTTATCATACCATCCGGTATATTGTAGATCAATGATCATTACCTATTCGGTTGCCTATGAAACCGAATTCCTATGAAACGGCTGCTTGTTTACCGTTGGTGTAAAACATTCAGCCATTTCAGAGGCATTTAATTATATCAGCCGGTATATTAAGACATCTAAGTTTATTATCCCATCCGGCTTTGAATCTCGAACGGCTGCTCGTTTACCGTTGATAAATAAACAGCAATTCTATGTGAGTTTTGTTGTATTAGCCGGTATGAGATAGATGTATAGTTTGATACCTTATCCGGCTGAAAATAGGACGGCTGCTTGTTTACCGTTGCAATAAACAAACAGCCACTCTATTTGCGTTATGTTGTATCAGCCGAAATGAGAACAGACAAATACTTGTAATACTTGTAAAAATAGTGCAAAAATTAAACGGTGCAAGTATATGTAAAAAGCAAAACCGACTGAGTCGGTTAATAGATTAGAATTAATAAAAGTTAACCGGACCCATGTCCGGGAAAAGTACAGATACCTACACGGCTCGCAGGCTGGTATGAAATTTGTTTATGATTGTTGCTGTTGTTAAGGTTGTTGTTGTTGCGGTTGCTGCTGTTGAGATTGCTGATGCTCAGGCTGTTGGGTTGGCTCAACTGGAATTTCAGCCGACTGCTCCACCGTGACTTCCGGCTGGTCTCCAACCGGTGCCCCTTGATCAGCCTCATCCGACTGAATCTCCGCACCTCGCTCAACCCACTCATCGAAAGGGGGAGGAGGGTCAGCGCCGAGTACCTTAGCCTCATAAACTTCAGAGGTATAAAGGTATCGAAGGTTGAAGTATTCATACTCAAAATCCGGATGGATGAGGTTCCAGGCCAGCTTCATGCGCTCCTCGCAATCAGCCTCATTATCTTCAATCATGCGGAGTTGTTCTTTTTCCAGCGCCTCCTTATGCGCCGCCTGATTAGTAGCAAGTTCATTCTTTAGCCGGCTGACGTCCTTGTGAAGATTAGTATTTTCTTTATCGGCATTTTCCAGAGCTTTAAGATCAGTTTGAAGGTCTTTGACCTTCAACTCAAGCTCATCAACTCTCTTCATTGCAGCCTCCCCAGCCGCAACTTCTTGCCTCAGTGCTTCCTCCTGTTCCAACGCCTTTTGTTTAGTTTCCAAGTCAAATGAAAGAGCATTGAATTGGCATACATCAATCAGCTCAGATGCGCGTCTCTGAGCATCTCTTACCTCCTCCTGCTTTTTATGCAAGGGGACATTAAGCCCATCCACTCTCAGCATCACCTGTGATATCAGCCGGGAAGAGTGTTAGAAAAATCAAGACAAAACATTTGCATCCGGTAAATAAAGATCATTGCTCAAGCATAGGTCATCCGGTTTAAATACCTCAACAAGGAGAGAAGTGATTCGGTCAAGATTAACCGTGTGCACAGCTGACACAACCTCTTTTTCAGACCGGATAAGAGCCCGGACCATCCTCTTAGCATATTGTTGATAATTTGGACGGTTAGAGGAAATATCTGCAATCATAGAATCATCTGTAAGATGTTGGGCATACGCTCCGCCTATACTCAGGCAGCATCCAGAAGAATTCCCGGATTGGCTTGCTTGGGTTTTGACTCTCATATGCCCAAGCGGCCAGGTGGGATCAAAGGCAGAGGTTTTACCTTTTTCGGACTGTGGGGTCAAAGCCCCCCCAGCCGCATTTGAGTCCGTACCCGTCTGGGTACGAACAGCCGGCCTTATTTCTTTCACCACCATTTCGAAGTGGGGAATGGATTGCAGGCTCTTCCCTGCTGTAGTAGGCCTGTCCTTGTCAGGCATTTTCTTCGAACCAGAGGCAGCCAGGGCAGCCACCTTTGGTGCCTTAGAAGCCGGCTGAGGTATGTTTCCAGCCGGTCTTTTATGCATGCTCGCTAAAGAGCGAGGAATGACTTGGCTCCCAGCCTGAAAGCAGTCAAGTATAACACATCTGGTTAAAAATCATTTACCAAGTATAATACATCCTGCAAAGAAAGAATAACTATGCAAAGAAAAATGGCTAAGGAAAGGCAGACTACCCCGGCATTCTTTGCGGCCAGTGCCGCCTTCTTTTCTTCAATCTGCTTCTTCCTTAGAAGAAGAGCAGATGTAGCAGGTGTCTTCTCCGGAGGCACCATTCCTATAGCTACTTCTGCAAAAAGGAAAAATACAGGGTTAAAAATCTGATAAACATATGCATCCGGTAAATATTCGGTCATGCAGCAACCTACCCTTAGTAAACATAGTGTTAAGGTTACAAAGAGACAAGAAGCACTCATCCTTAAACCAATCCGGATGGGGAACCCCAGAATTGGGGGACTATAATTTCACTCCCATCATCCAGTCGGGCTGTTGTCTTAAGAAAGAGGCCTTTTTCCATTATCTGGTCACAAGCCTCAGCCGGCACTTTTGGGAGAGCACATTTCCTACCCAGCAAAGTCGAATGCTTATTGTATCTACGCAGCCGGTGGTTAAGTTGGGGGGATGGGGAAGAGACGACATAAAACTTGCTCTTCCACTTACTCCATTTGGACGGCTTGTCCAAAGTCATTATATATTCCAGGAGCGTAGCTAAAGTATACCACGCATTCCACCCACCCGGCGTTCTGCTGAGATAGTGCATGTGCTCAAAAGCTTCCCAACTTGGCCTAACATCCTGCAACTCGCAGGCGGTAATATATCCCAAAATGTTGACCCATGAGTTAGGGGTCAACTGCCATACACCCAAGTCATATCCCCTTAATATGGCTTTTACGCAGTGATGGAGGGGAACCGGAGGCCGGTTGTGAATGCCGCCTCGTAACAGCCGAAGTAGTTGTCAACATTGTCCACGTCGTTGGTCCAAACGACGCTTGCCTCTACATGCGGTACAACCGCTTCCCATTTCTCCCCAACCGGCTTCTTCTTTAAGAAAGCAGGGAGTGTGGCGTTTAAAGTGACCACATCCCTGGCGGACATAGTCATATCGATTGGATCCCCCTTAGCTGGCTATTTATAGGCCCCCTCATCAATAGGGGCAGCCTTTTCAGAAGACTCTTCATCAGAGCCGGACTCTTCATCATCCGATCCCTCACCGGATCCTTCACCGGATTCCTCGGCATTAGAACCAGAACTTCCCAAAATGTTATCACCCGGTGTGCTGGGTACACCCGGGGAGTCTTTCGAAGTACCCTCGTTTGGAACTCTCTCAGACGGTTCCACCGTCTGCTCTTCATTTAAAGGGTCAGCCGGATCAACGGCTGCATCATCGGACTTGTAATCAGGATCTACTGTCGTCCATCTAGTCCGGGCCATTCTGTCCTGCACATGAACATAAACGGTCGGATTCAAAGCAGGTGAAGGTTGTCCCAAGCACCCCCAGAAGGCAGTCCCAGTCCTAGACTCAGCCGTCCCTGGTGACCGGCTAACCACTGTCGTTGGTATGCCGTGTTTATATTGGTGGAGTCCATATCCTAACTACTATGCACAACCGGAAATTAAAAGAGAAGAATGAAGAGGGTACAGACGGTACCTTTGAAATGTGAAGCTTAGTATGTGGAAAATGGCTTGAAGTCACCTCAGGCGGACAACTCCACGAATGTGTTTAAAGTTGAAAAAGGCAAAAGCATAAGTTAGTCGGTTATTCATAAACTCATTCAAAGATACCACAGACGGAATTATCCGCCTGTAGTAGTTAGACGGCTGACTAAGCAATGTACGAAGTTCATCCCAAGATACCCCAGACGGTATTCAGTGGGTGGGTTCAAAAAGACCCCATGCGGTGCAACACCAGATGGGGTGTTTTGATTCAAGGTAGCAAGTTGCTCTCAAAAACCCCAGGCAGAGTAAAAGATCGGATGGTGTATTATGACACATTTGTAAGAACTAGCTAGATAAAATTGTAAAGTTCACTCCATGATACCCCAGACGGTATCAAGTGAATTGGTTCAGAAGTATCCCAGACAGTGTAAGACCGGATGGGGGCTATGAAAAGCACAATATATATATATATATATATATATATATATATATATAGGGGAGGGATCCGATAAGAACCCACATCTATGTAAGAACCCAACCTTATATAAGAACTAATATCAACCGTAGGATTAGATTGAAATAAAAGGTTAAGATTATTAGAGATTATATTAGAGAGTAATGGCATTCTTGTAAATATCAAAACATTCCACCTATATAACATAATCCCTAATTTTCTCTCTTCAAAATCCCTAAAACTATGAGAAAATACGAAACTTTCTCTCTCCTACTCCTAGAAATCTTCATTTTTGCTGCAATTTGAAAGAAATTTTTATGATTTTCGGTCAAATTCTCTTGCAGTTTGTCAAATTAAGGTATGATTTGTTTGATTATTTTTGTTTGTTCGAAATTTTTTTTACCATTCGACTTTTTGTCCGTAAAATTTTCCAGATGGATGCAATTATAGTGAAATGTAGTTAACTAGTTATTATCAGATCGAATTTTGTTTGTTTGTTCGATTTTTATGAAAATTTGAGAAAAATATTTAGATTATGGTATAATGGCATTGCTCTTGGGGAGAAGGAATGAAGGATGGAAAGTTAAGGTTTCCTATTTTTTGCAATGGAAAATGAAGTTCATTTGTGGCCGTGGGAAAATAAAATGAATTAAGTATGAGTGTTGGAGAAGTTGTACAAGCCATAAATAAATTTTTGAGTAAGGAGATAATTACATATTTACAATAGCTAAGCCATGTGGAAGCTAAAAGGTTTTTTTTTAGATTTTAGAACATAAGTAAAAGAATCTTAGAACACAGGGATCGGAGAAAAAATTTAGAATATTGGAAAAAAAAAATTAGAACATAAGTAGACTAAATTTATAACATAGGAAAATATACTTTAGAACATAAGTAGACTAATTTAGAACATAGGAAAATAAACTTTAGAACATAAGTAGACTAAAAAAAATTAGAACATAGCAAAATAAATTTAGAACATAGACAAAAGAATTTAGAACATAGGTAAAAGAATATTTAGATTTTAGAACATAGGAAAAAATTTAGAACATATGGAGAAAAAATTTAGAACATTGGAAAAAAAAAAACTTTAGAAAATAAGTAGACTAAATTTAGAACATAGGAAAATATACTTCAGAACATAAGTAGACTAATTTAGAACATAGGAAAATAAACTTTAGAACATAAGTAGACTAAAAAAAATTAGAACATTGGAAAATAAATTTAGAACATAGACAAAAGAATATTTAGATATAGAACATAGGAAAAAAAAAAAACTTTAGAACATAGGGAGAAAAACTTTAGAACATTGGAAAAAAAAAAACTTTAGAACATATGTAGACTAAATTTAGAACATAGGAAAATAAACTTTAGAACATAAGTAGACTAAATTTAGGACATAGGAAAATAAACTTTAGAACATAAGTAGACTAAATTTAGAACATAGGAGAAAACTCAAAGTATAAGAATAAAATTTAGAACATAAAGAAAGCTCACAGTATAAGAATAAAATTTAGAACATAAGTTGAAAAAAAAATAAGAACATAGTAAAAACATAGGGGAAATTAGAACATAGGATAAATCATAGAAAAATGAGATTAAAAAGGTTTAAATCATAGGAAGTAGGTGATAAAAACATAAGTGAAAAAACTTTCGCACATAGGTAGAAGAAATTTAGAATATTAGAAAAATAAAATTAGAACATTAGTTAAGAACATAGGATAAAAATTTAACACATATGAAGAAAATAAAAATTTAGAACTTAGTAAATAATTAGAACATAAAAAAAAATTAGAACATAGACACAAAAAACTTAGAACATAAAGAAAAAAATTAAAACATAGGCAGAAAAAATTTAGAACATAGAAAAAATATTAGAACATAAGAAAATTTAGAACATAAGAAAAATTTAGAATATGAAAAACAAATTAAGAACATAAGAAAAATTTAGAACATCCAAAAAAAATTTAGAACATACAGAAAAATTTAGAACATATAAGAAAAAAATTTAGAACATAGAGAAAAAAACTTAGAACATAAGAAAAATTTAGAACATGGGAAAAAAAATTTAGAACATGAGAAAAATTTTAGAACATATAGAAAAAAAAAGTTAAAACATATAAATTTGGAACATAGAAAAAAAATTTAGAACATAGGCTGAAAAATTTAGAATGTAAGAAAAAAGATTTCGAACATAGGAAAAAAAATTTAGAACATAAGAAAATTTTTAAATCATAGGTTTAGTTCATAGGGAACATAAAATTGGAGTATCTGTTTAGAACAGAGAAAATAATTTAGACATAATATAAAAATTTAGAACATAGACAAAAAATAATTAGAACATAGGAAAAAAAAAATAAACATATTTTAGAACATAGGAAGAGAATTTAAAGCATAGTATAGGTTAAATTTCAAATTGGAGTACTCTATTTTTTTTTTTACAATGTATGGTAAAACCTATTAGCTCAAGTGGTAGAGCATTATGCAAATGCATAAGGGATGTAGGTTCGATTCCTACATAGGTTGTGTCTCTAAAAAAAAAAGAAATCAAATTAGCACTAAGTATCCAAAAAAAATTAAACATTGGGTTAAATGATCAATTACTATGGAAATTACGTTACAACTAAACTTTTGTGCAAAACTCACGTCGTTACATTAGACAAATGAGCCTACGTGGGATTCGAACCCACATCTTTTGTGCATTTGCACAATGCTCTCTCATTGAGCTAGTAGGCTAATGTATATAAAACATTCGAACTTAAAAAATTAGTAAACAAGTGAGCAAAGCATTTGTACTATGTTGCTCTACAAAGCTATTTGAGACTACATACAAGCCAAAGTGAGGGATTTGTAGTTTCATACCCTTAAGCATGAAGCAACACATTCTCTGCAGTTAGATTTGACCACAATGCAAGTTTAACCTTGTAGGGATACTAAGTAGTACATACAAATGCACAATTCTTTAACAAATATAAGATTCATATACATACGCAAACCAAAGGGTGGAGAGATTTCATAGGTGCTACTTTGCATCCTAATTCATAAAAATATTGACATTTGTTTTAATGATCAAAAGATGAATGAAGGATCATTTTCCTTGTCTTGGTGATTTGAGGGAGCTTTAACACAGTGTGCTCAATGTGCTGTGGTGAACTTAACTGGTGCTTACCTGATACATATTCAAATCTGTAAAATATTATATGCAATCACTTAAAAGGATATATGCAACTAATGACTTTCTTGGACTATAGCCTACAAAGAAACTCAAGCTTTGTGAGAACAGGTTACTAGCATATGACTTCCCTCTAGTGACTCAAAGAAACAGTTCTTAGTTCTAACTATACTCCAAAATTCCTTCTAATCAAAGCTTAAGAAGTCAAGACTATTGTCATCAGTAGCACATCATTATCTCTTTGATGCAAGACACACTAGGAACCAAGTTGGTAAATTACAACAAAACTCACATAGAGAAGATACAAGTTAATGATATATATATAGGGATTGAATGAAGGTACAACTTGAGGATTTTTAAGACTATTATCTTTAGAAAAACAAGCTTATTGTTCATTATTCACAACACCAAATATAATAGAACATGAATAACTTTAGAACATTTGCGTAATAGTTTAGAACATGTGCACAAATATTTAGAACATGATCAATTATAGTTCAAAAAAATATGAAATGAAGGGTCATACATTTAACCAACGAGCTAGAAATTAACTTGATTGAAGAACATTGATGAAGAAGATGCCTATATTTGATTAACTTTAGGATCCAAAATAAGATATGATAAACTTGAAATTCAAAATAAACACACTTAGTCACACGATCAATAAAATGTAGAAAATTAGACTCAAAATTCAATCAAACGTAGAAAAATTAGACTTGATAATTCGATAAATGCAACATAATCATTAAAATATCATCAACACTATTGTACTACGTAGTCCTTGTTATAAAATGCTTAACAACCACAAAGCTAGATAACTCTTTAGAACATAAAGATCAAACTTTTGAACATGGAGAGAACATTAAGAACATACATAATAAACTTTGAAACATACATGTACAGTTACATTCCTCAGACACAAAGAAAACAAGAGCCGAGAACAAACTAGCATCAAAATCGCTTCAAAATCGAAAAAGAAAATCGAACAAAATAAAATCAAAATTAGAGCAGAAAAATTGAACAATCAAACTGATAAATAATCGAACAAAATAAATAGAAATCACCAAAAAAAAAAAATCGAACCTATAATCGCCAAAACAAAATTCTTTAGAAATCGCAAAAATATTGACGAGAACCTTAATTTATGAAGAATTGGCACAAAATTCGAGAGTTCAAGCAAATTCAAATGAACAATTTGATGAATCTTGCTTTAAAAACTTTAAATAATTGCACAAGAGTTGCAAAATTGGGTAAGAACTTTAGAGAGAGAAATTGGGGAAGAACTTTAGAGAGAGAAAAATGTTGCACCAAAGAGAGAGAAAGAGCTGACTTATTTTATAAAGTTTCTATTATACCATAAAAATTTCATTAATTACAATACTGCCATTATTTTGATCCGGGTTAATGTAGAGCGTTAGATCTCAATAGATCTAATGGCTGAAAATAGTTCTTATATATAATGAGTTCTTATATAGAGGAGGGTTCTTACATGAGCCCCTCTCTCTCTCTCTCTCTCTCTCTCTCTATATATATATATATATATATATATATATATATATATATATATATATATATATATATATATATATATATATATATATATGTATAGACACCGACTGTAGGCGCTGCAAAGACTATTGAGGTCATTCAACGATACCCCAGACGGTTAAATACCGGATGAGGATATAGTAGGACCTGCTTCAAAGAAGCTTGTTCAAGAAGGCCCCAAACGGTAAATCACCGGAGGGAGATGCATTGAATACAATTATAAAATAAATTTCAAACTAAAAGGTCATGAAAAGTCAAGGATGATGACCCAAACGGTATTAAACTGGTTGGGGGT